TTAATCAATTAAAGAATCAAATGAATTATTAAACAAATCTGTCGAATGTTTCCGTATTATAAGCCGATCGATCCGCAAAGGTTTGTTTTCTAATTCAGATAGAGAAAACAAATTAAATGCAATATATGTAAACTGTTTAATCTTTCTTTAGGTCCTCCATTTTGTGTATGTCAAAATTGATCATTGACGCTCACCGATATTCTTTTTTAAATTCTTCATGAAGTTGAAATTTATGAGATTAATGATAAATGAGAAAGGGAGATCAAGTGAGGAAATTACTACATGTGTTATAAAATATTGTATTTATATCTGGATGTAGCAATTATAGTTTAAAAATTTCCGGTATATTATATGCGCATATTCATAGTTTATATATTATTTCAATTAAGTGTTGAAGAAATTCTGTAATATAACAAATTGTGATAAATGTATGAACGATGATAACGTTAATGTCACAGTACAATCATAAAAAAAAAATATAGAATTGATAAGACTGGTTAGTACTTCACAGTCTCAGATGTTTCATAAATATGAGCATAAATGGCTGTTTTTTTTGGTGAAGCTCACATTTCTCCATCAATCATTGCATTAGTTTTTTATCACTGCTAATAGATAGCTTGCTGACTTCTCTTCAACATGCCTCACGATACAGTCATAGGTGGACAGGTTTTAGCTATCGAATGGAATAAAAGACAGTGACTTGTGAATACTATGGCAATCATAGTATCATAGCCTCCAATTATCGTCGTTAATTTTTAAAATTGACTCTGGTCTTTTGGATTCTTCAATTTCTTGTGCTTCCAAAATTGACAGCAAGAAACGTGTCAAATAGTACTTGATTGTTTCACTAAATTACATTCAGTTGGGGTGCATTTCCAAATTACTCAGTATTAATTTTCATTAATACGAAAATGCATAGCGAAACTAGTCGAAGTGATTGACAAAGATGAGTAATCGTGAAATCCGCATTCTCTAAATTACTTGATAGTAATTTAGTGGCGATAACTTCTTCGGTTTCCACATATCCTCTTTGCCTTCTATTTTCTGCCTTGTGGGGCAGCGATTTGCAAAATCTAGAAATCCTTGCTATCAGTTCATTTGTTTTTAAATCTCGCTAAAATTTCATGCCATACTTTAAACATCAAAAGTTTCATTCACTCCATTAAAAAAACTTCGTATTTAGCAATGTTAAAATGGTCAGGACGTAAATTGTGGTATCCTTTCCTTTTGCTGTAGAATTTCTCCCTCTAATTTCACTTTTTATTCTACACTTCTCATTTTCATTTTAGAAATTTACCCTCTCTTTTGTGAAAAATATCATAAAAGCGAGAACATAAGAAATAGTAACATTTTGAAATTATTATTTTGGTATAAGAAAACGATTCCCCAAATGTGTTTTGGTTAAATAATAAAAGTAGATGAGAAAATGCAATTAGTTATTACGGCGATCTATGAACTAGTATGTCTTTTAAACATTTTAAAATTATACATCAGTTTCAATTAAAATTATGCTATCATTTCAAGTGATCACTAACAGGTTTCTTTTAAGTTTTTAAATTTTCTCAGATTGCTGATTCTTATCAAAACTTGTGTTTAATACTTATTAATGTGAAAATACAAAGTGAAATTAAGTCGCAAATGATTTACTCGAATCAGCAGTATACAATGCAGTTTTTAGAACGCTATTGTCTCGATATCTCTTCCACCATTTACTTTTTCAGTTTTCTGCACAATGGCGATTGTCACTTATCATTATAGAAGGATGAACTATAAGCGACAATGACAGTTGTGACTTTTTCTTTTCCTTTCGTAATTTCATTAACTTTTTTGTCGTATATTTTTTGAAATAGTTTCATTATCATCATTGCTATTCAATAATAATTGTAAAATAAATGATGTAAAATGGTGTAATATAACGATCCTTAATGTTCATAATTTTCTACTTCCCAAATATCGCTTGCTGTAACATTTCTTCTTCAAACTTCTATTTTCATTTTGTGTTTTTCACTTTCATTTTAAAGTTTACTTCTTGCAAAATATTACTTTTTCTTTTGCAAAATGTTTCATTTTAAAGTTTAGTTTTTGCCAAAAAATAAGAAAAAACTTGTGAAGTAACTATGTTTTTAAAATATCCTAAAATATATCATAAATTATGAATAATTAAATTGTATAAGTGGCATATTCTTCCGTATATTGTCTTAATATATCATCTGCATTTCCTTCTTTATAAATTTCTGCAAAAAAACGAAATTCTTTTTTCACTATTGAATTGTTTTTATCACGGATAGTTGTTGATTTGACTCAAATTTTCCCTGTCTAATAATAAATTAGCAAAGGTGCAACATTTCAGACAGGTTTAGGATTGAGTAATTATGATATTTAGGAATATTGAAATATGTTTCATTAAAATTTTCATTTGATTTTTAGAGTAAAATGTTAAAACTACTGGAAAAGATTGGGCCGAGGAAATTTTCGTATGGATAATTCTAATGTAAAAATGAAAAAGTATTTGCATATTTAAATTTTCTTCAAATTTGCCTTAAAAATTACAATAAGTTTGATGTTAAATGAAAAACTATGAAAGAAATGAATTTTTTCTTTACCAATTAATATTCAAACTATTAATATATTTCATTTCCTTTTATATTTCATATAATACTTATAATGGTTTAAATGCAATTAACGTATGTTTTAATGGCAATAATATTTCCCATAACATGTTTTATAACATTCCGAAAATTTTTGCACATTAATGAATATATAAATAAAAATTCAGCAAGCTAATTAATTAATTATTTTTATTTCTTCAAATTAAGTTTATTAAAGACAGCTTTACCAAAACAGTTTTTCATAAAATAATTTGCTAAGGTAGCTTCATGAGGTTTTTCTTAAATCTAAAGTTATACAAAACACACTTATGAGAATGCATATGTAAGAAAGAACAATTTCATTATGGCAGTTTAATATAATGATTGTTTCACAAATAGCGATCTATCATTATCTTAACACAACCTTTATAACCTTATGATTAACTATATGTTCAATATTTTCTTTTTTATTGCGCCTTTTTTTGTTTAATAATCTTAAAAAAATGAGAGTCAATTTCATTTATTTAAGCGATCCTCTCATCCTACGAATTTGTATTTGACATTCGGTAGAAGTCCGTGAAACATTCAGTCGAAATAAAATGCCTGCAAGAATTTGTGTAGTAGGTGCTGGAGCAAGTGGCCTCACCGCTACAAAAACATGTCTTGAAAATGGTTTGCAAGTGGTATGCTTCGAAAAATCTTCTGATATTGGTGGATTATGGCGATATAAGCCAGAACTTTGTCCTGGTTCGAACTTTAAAAAATTTATATTTTTTGAATTTATTCTTCAGAATTAACTTTTCACTTTAGCATATTCTGAATTAATAAGGGAAATGAGAAATCAAAAATGTTCTTTCGCTGGAATACATGTATAACCATAAGATAAAGGATGTTTCGGATATCATTATCGCTCAGGCTTATTTCCTACAAAAAACCATTCTTCGAACGACGATTCGTAATTACTAATTTTATAAGCTTTTAGCATTCTAAAAATTATAAAATAAATAACCTTCTGAATAAACATAATCTTTTGAATGAGTGAAAAGAAAAAAAACTTTTTGCTCCATAATAATAATTTCTCAATAATCTTTAAAGTTTATTGTGATATATAATTTATTTTTGCTTTCATAATCTATTTCATCTCACAAATCAACAATATAGAATAATGTGATAGAAGTTTTTCTCTTATATTTACTATCATAATTTAGCATTTTTTATAGCATTCATCGAATTTCAGGTGAAGGTACGGTGATGAAAAACACAACAATCAATACATCAAAAGAGATGACAGCTTTTAGTGATTTTGTTCCACTACCTGAAATGCCTAATTTCATGAAGCACACTCAATTGTTGACATATTTTCGATCATACGCTGATCATTTTCATTTGCAACAACATATCAGTTTGCGGCATGAAGTGATTTATATTAAAAAAGATGAAAAATATGAAGAAACTGGCCGATGGAATGTTACATATCGTATCATTGAGTTAATTTATTTAAAATTTTGCTTATTTATTTATTGTCGCTAATTAGATATCATCTGAGTCATATAAATATCAGGATCGCAGTACATTATATGATCTTAACCAAATTTTAAGAGAGATAGTGAGTTTTTTTTAGTTTTTTGATAAGTGTGTGGTTATCAAAGTCTAACGTTTACATAATTTTTCATGACTGTAAGCCATTCAGGGAGTGATTTTCAGTTTTTCAAGACTTGAAGAGTTTCATCCTATACTTTTTATTTTATCGGTAAATTCAGTTGTATTCCAGTCTTTCCACCATGATGAAGAAATGCAATAAACATATGGCTAGTGAGAAGATGGAAAAACTACCAACCAGAAACATTTAGGAATTCCAATTTTTATAGCGATAATGTGACGCAAACTGAAACTTTTGATGGAATATTGCTGTGCTGTGGTCATCATGCAATACCGTACTGGCCGGAACAATTCCCGGGACAGGATAAATTCCAGGGTGAAATTATTCATAGCCACGATTATCGTGAACCGTTTCCGTACTGTGACAAGACCGTGGTATTGATTGGAATTGGTAATTCTTCTGGTGACATTGCAGTTGATTTGAGTAGAGTTGCCAAGCAGGTACGATTTTTTTCTTCTTAAAATTTGAAAATTCCTGAAATGTTAAAATATTTTGCCTTTTTTAAAGCGTAATTTCTGTTCATCCTTGCTATTGGCAGGTTTATTTCAGGTTTATTTATCAACTCGTAGCGGTGCTTGGGTGCTTAAAAGAACTTGGGTTTGGGGTGAACCAATTGATTTTGTTTTTGTTAGTCGCTACATTCATACATTGAGAAAATTAGTACCATCCTGTGTAAGTTTTATCATTCATTTATTAGTTATCATAAATTTGATTAAGTGAATTCATCCATTTTTATTCAGCATTTAATTCTAAAATTAGAATACGAATTAAAAAAATTAATTCAGAATGGATGAAGATTAAAAATGTCACTTAACATTCTCCAAAATGAATTTTCCACTGATGTAGGACTTTCCTATTTCATCTAAAGTAAGGGAAATTCCTCGATGTTGTCCTTTTGTAAAAAAAATGGCTGTTTTATAATAAAAAAATATTTAATATTAATATTGTATAGTTATATATATATATATATATATATAATTGTATAATTATAAAATCTCAAAAGAAAATTATAAATAAGGTAAATCAAAGAAAAGGAATTACTTGCATAAATATATATTAGAAATAAATAATCAGACGGAAAGAAATAAATTTAGACACAATTGATGAAAGTATTTTTATGTGCAATAGTATCCAATTATCCTTAAGTTTTTTGCTTCTCTCAGGTTGATTTAACTTTATCTATTGAATGTTAACATTTAAAATACAATGTTAATTACAGTTGGTTAACAAAATTTATGAAAGCAAACTTAATCAACATTTTGATCATGGACGATATGGTTTAAAACCGAAACATCATGCCATTGCACAACACGCTACTATTAACGATGAGCTGCCAGGTCGTATCGCTTGTGGATCTATTATTGTAAGTAAGATTAAGCCAACTAATTAGTATATGTGCTATAAATGGTAAAGTTAATCACGAAGAATCTGATTAGTTATTGAATTAAATAGAAAGTCTGACCGATGAAGATCATGTGAGCCTTCTTGATCCTTATTCATGATACCTGTTTGTGCTAAATATACATATCATATTCCGTTATATGCTATTATTTCACTGATAAAAAATGGAAGAGTGGAGAAATATATATTATGCCTCTAAATATATATCATAACCGGTTTAATCTAAAAATATATATTATATTTTTAGATTAAACCGAATATTGCTCGTTTTACCGAACACGATGTGATATTCGAGGATGGTACAACGGTGAGTAATGTTGATGTGGTGATCTTTGGTACCGGTTACTCGTTTGAATTTTCAATCGTTGAAGATGGTAATCTTATACCTGTTACTGATAATGTTGCTGATTTGTATTTGCATATGTATCCACCACAATTATCACCAAAAGTTTGTTTTAATTTAATAATTTGAAATTTTCAATATCAATTTTTTTCTTATTTCGTTACTTATAATCAATTTTTACTTCATTCTTTGCATTTGTTAACATTTTTTTCCTCGAACACTGATTCTATTCATATTTTCAGAATACTCTAGCTGTAATAGGTCTTATTCAACCGGTTGGTTCCATAATGCCTATTTCTGAAATGCAATCTCGACTTTACTGTGAAGTATTTCTTGGCCATTGCAAACTACCCGAAGCTGAAGAAATGAAAAAAGATATTAATAAAAAGAAGGCATTGATCGCAAAGAAATTTGTGCAAAGTCAGCGACATGCTTTAGAGGTTTTTATAATTATATCATATAAATATTAATAACCATTAATATCAATGCGAAAATTAATTTTTGTTTTTTAACTCTTTAAAAAGTTACTTCGTTTTCAATTATATGAGAAAAGAAAAAAAGACAAAACAAAAATTATTATTTTCATATAGTCAAATAAATTTAAGGTTGAATATACAAGCTATATGGATGAATTGGCGAAAATGTTTGGTGTGAAACCAAATTTGCTCAAATATTGGTTCACTGATCCTCGTTTAGCATATACTTTGTTCTTTAATGGAATGGCACCGTATCAGTTTAGACTAAAAGTGAAGCTTAATTTCAACAAAATTTAAAAAAAGATTACTTCGATTAGTCAGATAAATTGCGTTGATTAATCAACATTTGTAAATATTAATATTTATGGTTAATTTTATGTTCCTATGAAAAAGCTCTTACTTTCAGCGTAATTCATATAAATTGTTTTTGCATTTTATTCCTAAATTAAATTTTTGGAATGAGTAAAATAATCTAATCGCACTTTGCAACTTGCGCTCTTTAGCAGCACTATCAATCACTGATCGGCCACTAATACATTTGGCTCTGAGGAAAAAACTTTCTAGTTAATTTATTCGATAGAATCTGTTTACTCTCATTATGACTGCAATCGGCCACCTCATGGAAATGTCATTTGAACTTTTTCAGTCTTTTCTTATATTTCTCATACTGCGAAATGCTTTTTGCAAAATGGAAATAATTTGTTGGCTATTTTATAGGGTCCACATGCATGGATTGGAGCGCGTGATGCATTGTTAAATATGACAAGACGGACATTCGAAAATTCCCGCACACGACGAACTCCTGAAACAATGAAATCAAAACCGATTAATAAGTTACTCTATTTGCTTATAATAATAAAGCCTTTTTAATATGCTTGCATGTTTTGAATATGTTTATGATTGGCATATTTCAGAATTGGTTTTATGTTTATGATTAACATATTTCGGGATCAATTCTACTAGGGATTCTATTATTTTACTTATAGTCGGTTGGAAATCATTGTTCAAAATATTGGATGATATTCAACCGTAAAAGTCTAAAAACAAATTATTTACAATATATTTTCCTTAAATCAAATGAAAAACATGGCATGTATCACTGGACAGTTGCGATTTCAGCAGTTGTTCACCAAGATATTTTTAGACATGGAAACAAATATTTCTATTAGTTCTTGAACAGTTTTTTTTAATCGGCAGAAATAGGCTCAATCAGCTGCTAGTTGGAAGTTAACTTACCAGTCGAATAATTAATTTTAGTTAATTTAGTCTTCAGCTTTGTTGAAGACTTCTGTTCAGTAGAGCATTATCCCTTGGGATAAATTGTATAGTTTATACACCGAAGTGTTAGATTATTATAGCATATTATTTGAAAATTATTTATTCAAAAATCATTTTGGCTTCGTGTGGTATTTATTAGATCAATTTATAACCATCATATTTAATATTATCACCTCAATTATTAATATTATAAAATTTTTGCCAATATTATAATTAATAGTTATTATTAGTCCAAACTTCGATTAATTCATCTTTCAAAATGGACTGAGATATTTTCATTGTTTCAATGCTTTCCTGGAAAAACAATTTTTCATAATTATTGATTTTTAGATTTTATTATCATTTATCACTCTAAAAAAAGAAAGGAAGAGAAGAAATATTGTCATACTACACTAAAAGATATAGCATATTCTCTGCCCTCTGTAAATTTAAGCAAAGAATTCCTTCGAAGGATTCTGATCAACAATCTGAACTTCTTCGCATATTAAATAATGAAACAATTAAATGGAAATAATTTGTATGATACTAATAAGATCTGCCTACTTCATGTCTAATATTTTAACTATAAAATTAAAAAAAAAAACTTATTACCTCTTTATCCTGCACAAGAAAAATACAGTGGTTGATAAAGTGGTAAATAGAAATGAAGTGGCAAAAAGGAGTATACCAAGAACCGAATAAGTTAGGCATATTCTCTGTGATGCTATCAATGCTATTGCCATTCCACTATTTGATCCATATTTAGACTGGAATTTAAATATTTTATTTTATAATTTATTACATGACATTATTAATTGGATTTAAATTTGAAGTGAAGTGAATTTATTGAAAATCAATAAATAATTTTATTTTAATTATATTTTTGCCCGATTAATGATAACGTTCGTTGAAAGTCATCTTAAAATCCGTGTAGTATTACTCAATAGATATTGCTAATGTTAAAATTTCAACAAAGCATCTTTAAAATCATTATAATACTGGTAATTCATTTAATTTCAAAAATAATAATTAGAGTTAAAAAACTGTACCTGACTAACTCCATGAACTAAATATTGTGATCGAGAATCAGATACTTTATTTTCATCAATGTTGTCAAACATGCTAATTGTAGCAACTACATCCATCTGATGGCTGCTACTACGTAAATCGGGTGATGTAATATGCGTATTCTCTTCCAGTACCATACTAAACTATTACAGATTTCAGATTTCCTTGAATTCCATATTGATCATAGTTTAAGTAGTTAAAATTTCAAATAAACAAACTTAGAATTGTTGTCAGCTATACTGCGCCGAAATCGGTTATTATTAATGCATGTTGGTGGAGTAAGACCTTCACATTCACCAGCACTTTTCTTACATAATTCAACGACACACTGATAGTTTAGGATCGAAGTATCACTGAATTTATACCCCCATGTTTCAACCACTGCCTATAAATTCTATGCATTAAAATTAGAATAATTAATGTGTAAAAACTTGAGTTGCTAGAAACAATAATGAAGATGTAATTTGCTGGAAATTAATTTATAAGTTATTATTGCTAAAGTGAAGTGTGATATATTTTCAATCACAGTTAAAAAAGTCTGTATACTGGTTTTAGTTATTAATTTATTAAAAAAATTTGAATAAACTCATAGCGCAGTGAAAAAATAAAAAATTTGGTCTGAGACTATTTTTACGAATTGAACTTTTCAATCTAACATATAATTTATGGCTGCACATTTTTCTACAATGCAATGAAACTAATCACATCCTTCCAATATCCAATTTTTCATCTTATCTTAACTATTTCAGAACTTTAAAGTTAGGTAGTTTTTTTCGATTCAATCAATATGCTTTTGTCTTTAAAAAATTTAAAATAGATTTTTGTTTTGAAAATTTATAAAAATATCGAAATATTTTACTCTTCTCATGTCTGCATCGTACCGCACATCAGGTTGAATAACCGGATCAATAGTGCATCCATCCAAATCAAGCTAAAACATATTTCAACTTGCTACTATTCTTTTTAACTAATTCAATTTAAGATTGGGTAACTTGTACATAAAACAAAAGTTAAATACCAAATCAAAACGTGTTCCTCGTCCATCATTAACAAAGCATGAATGTACTAAAAAGCCTTGTGTATCATCATCACATTCCCAAACGTGGTAAATTTTCTCACCCACTTGACCGTAACTGTAATTTATGAACTGTCATATTAAATTTATTCAAAATCAACTTTTCTCAAAAAATTTGATAAAAATTGATTAAATTTGATTAGAAATGCATAATGATCATTTATTCTTAAATTATTTCAAAAAAATTTTCATGTGCTTAAATTGCTTGATTTATATTAAATAATGGACAAATCAACAGTTTAATCAATAAATTCAATTGATAAATATAATTAGTTGGAACTGTATGAAGAAAAAACTGTACAGCAAAAGTTGACATGAGCTAATAAAAGATTTGAGAATTTCAAAAAATTATACACAGCTGGTGGTCCATCTGCGCTTCCTGAATGGATACTGTACGTGCAAGTAGGCACTTGTACCGTATCCATTAGTTCGGTAGTACCAATTGACGACATGTCTACACCGGATGTTAGCCGTTTAATATTTCGGAAAAAACACATGCAACGATATGCGCGATCAGCTCGTGTTACAAATGTCCCGTGAAATGATACGACGATTGTAAGAGAAAACATAATACCCTAAAATTATATCAAAATAGTTAAATTATTGCATGAAATTTCTAAAATATATTGTAGAATGTTAACTTTGCAATGATTAAATTAAAATAATATTTAAATTGAATAAAAAAAATATTCGAATTTTACATTAATCTTTTGAAATTAAATTATTACGCTATGATTCACTATTGGATAGAGTAAAAAAAGTGACCGTTTTAAGCTTGTTAAAAATAAATTGAAGACACCTCCAAAGAGCCGGTAACTCGCTGTCGTTGCATGGTACAATCACCATTCTTAATCAACATTGAAAATTTATTCTGATCGACATTTGATGCGAAATTCCTGGAGCATCGGTCATCATCAGCTAATCCTCGGACATACACACGTCCAGTAAATGGTTTTCTGGTTCGGAATGTTAGCGATACTACTGTATCTCCACAATCTACCTGCATATAAATGAGGTAGCGTAGGTTGTACGTCATAATTATTAATTGAGAAAATCTACTCAGTCTCAAAGTAACTCAAGAAATTTAATTGATGCCACCATCAACAGTCCAATGGAATAAATGAAACGGTTGGATTATTTCGTATAATAAGTCTTTTTGACAGCTTCGACTATTTGAAGTGCAATTAGTTACTTTATCAAGAAGAGACGATACAGATGATTTAAAAGATGAGCACAATTCTGATGATTAAATATAGCCTAGAAAGTCTCGAAAATTAAGATGGATGAGAAGATGAAAGAAGAAATTATCAAAAGAGCATTTAGAGTGATAACCAATAAAACACTTCCACAAACTAATTTATTAGTGCTTACAGATAATTTTAAAATCTGCTCATTAATTTTATCAGCAACTCATTATTACTAAATTAGTACTTACTATATTAGTCCTAAAAAGCTTTGCGCTGCTTAAATAAAATTAATTTTTTAGCTTTGTAAAATAAGTTAAGATTTAATTTGTCAATTGTTTTGTAGGAATCGTTTCATAAATATATTTCACTAAATAAAAATTTACATCACATTACTTTTGCATAATATGAAAAGAATAAATGATAAAAGTAATAAAGTGAAGAAAAGTTCACCATTGGTGTTCCTATCAATTCGTTATCAATTGTAGCAGTTAATATACTCTTCACAAGATAATATATCAGAAGGAGGCTGATAATATAATGAATCTTAGAATGATTTTGCATGATTTTGGTAACGTCTATTTTTCAACAACTGTTTCTCATATAATAACTCAATTAACCATCTTAATCAGGCATATATATGATAGCTTGGACTATCAATTAGGACATCAGTAGGCAAACAGAGAAATAAGAAGAAAAAGGCTAAGAAAAAAAAGATACAAAATTGTGTTCGTTTTTTTGGATATTTGGAATGACAAAAATATGGAAAAACATCTTCCACCCATCTTTCCGTTCATATTAACAACGGATAAATGGGTCAGAAATTTTAATTGGTATGTAAATTTACATAACATCAAAGATTTTCATCCCAACAACAACAACACTTATCCTTACACTAAGAAAATAAATGTTTCTTTCTTTTCCTCTGATCAAAAAGAAAGAAAAGTTTCTTAACTAAACGATTAAAGCAATTTTTGTTTTGATGAATTTATTTAATTGTTTTTTGTTATTATTTGTTTTGCTAATTTCTTTCAGTATTGCAAATATTATCATTTCTGTTTCGTCCTTTTACAATTAATTATTCATCCTTTTTTTTAATTAATTAACAATAGAAGTTTAAAAAAAAGGAAAAGAATGGTGAAAAAATTCGAAAATGCCTCCTTCTTCTTCAATATTCCATCTTTTCTTGGATAGTTAGAAAGAATTGAGTTGAAAAAAGAAATAAAAGGACTAAATGAATTTTCATTTTGCGACAAAAGTTTTCTGATAATTTCAATTTGTCTGAACCAATTTCAGTGAAAGATTTTATTTATGAATGAAATATCAAAAAGCAAAACTGCGATACTTTGTGGGATGCTAATTATTCTGAATGTTATTTATTTTTCTTGCGATATATTAATCTCCTTCTAATAATTTCTCAAAATTTCATTGAAATATAATGAAACTCAGTTATAACAAGAAATGTATGCAATTATCGTTTTCTTGTATCAGAAAATAATTTTCCGTTCACATAAATGTAACTGTTTAATTTAATTCAATATTATCTTATCTTTTTCTTAAATATGAAATAACAGATAAAACTTTATATGAATATTCAAAAACAAATTGAATGTTCTTTTGGTCCAATTTTCTCAATCATTTGTTAAAAATAAAAAGTTGGAAAAAAAAGAGAAGAATTTATTTTAAGGATGATTTCATGATTTTGTGGAATCGCAACGGGATGGTTGAATGAGTAAGTTATTATCAAAGAATGACCTTGTCATTACCTTCTGGAATTATTTTAGAAATAACATTTTTTTCTCATTCATTTTCCAATGAAGGATTTGACCTCGTTATCCAGAATTTGTTTTGCACTTCCTAAAAGACAAATTGCATCCGATAATTTCAATCACAAATGTTTATGTTACACAGTTTGAAATTTTTAATGCACTCCCTTCTGTCAATTCCTATTCCATTTCCTTTTTATCATCTGTCAAATCAAATGTTGTATTTATCCTAAATTAATTACATATACTAATTTGATTAGTTTTGTATAATAAATTTAAAGTTAAGAAAATGATACTAATGATAGTGGAGAATAGCGAGCAGAGTATATTCAAAATTTTTTGAGAGCTGAAGAAACATGAATTAAAATTTTACGACAAATTTTAGAATTAGTTAAAAATTCTCGTATCTGATATTTTGCTTAAATACAGCTAAAAAAGTTATATCTTAGGAGATATAGAAGACAATTGCATTTAATTGAATTCATTTATGCGTATCAAACCCTTCATCTTCCAATGATTTTCGATTGAAAATTAAAATAATTGAAAAAAGGCTGTTACAGAGTATTGTTATCTCTCATACTGTTCTCATAAAGTAAGTAGTCATTTGGCATCTAAATAATGCTTCGAATCTATTCCATTAATACATGCAAGAAACTTTCTTAATCACTTTTCAAATTTCGAAAATTATAATCATAGAAAAGAAAATTTCTATTATCAGAATACAAATTCTTCAATTTCAATTGAAAATCAGTGCAGGAAAATTGATCTGATACGCACAAATGAGCTCAATTAAATAATTGTCGCTTAGTTATAAAACTTAATTTAAAAAAATATATATTGAGATTTTATATGGCAAATAATTAAATGAAATCTTCAAGAGAAAAATGTTACTCTAATTTCAACGTTATCCTCAGGTGAAGATTTATTTTCAGTTAAAAAATCGAGAAACTTGCACAATATTCTATCCATCATTTTTTACAAAGTTCATAAAGCACTTAAAATTTTCGTCAATTTCCTTTACCCTCTTTCTCTCTCGTTTTCTCTCTTTTAAAAGGAAATTCTAAATAAGCTACCATCATCAGACTAAGCAATCAATAATAGTTCATTTACCTTAAAAATTTGCATCTATCGAAATAGCAAAGAAAGGAGGAGAAATTAAAGGTAAGAGTCCTTTGTAAATATATGAAAACCGGTCAGAGCAGAACAATAGTGGTAGCAAAAGAATATCAATCATCCTAACACTGTAAAACCATGTATCTTTCTAGAAAGATAACAACAAAAAAAAAGGTAGGAAAAATGGAATGCTACAGGCGTATTAGATTAAAATCTGAGCGGAGTGTGTAAAATTGAGGCGACGATCTTCGCTACCAATCGCGACAAATACAAAATATTTCCATTCCTTTTTGTGCTTCCCTCCGAATCGCTAAATGCTTTCATTGTCACAATCTTCTGTCCACTCATTTTACATCACAAACTTCATTTAATGTCCATTATTCTAATGGTCAAAATAGCTTTCAACTTCCCATTTTGTCCATTGATACTTTAAAAATGTAAACTTTCCTTTGTATATCAAAATGAAATCTAAAATTTTCCCAATTTCCTGAACATTTTATCGTTCATCATCATATGATAGAAAATATTGCTAAGGAATTTCTCTTCAATGACATTTTGAAGATACTTTTAATTTAAATTTATTAATTTGAATCAATTTTCTTAACAAATATTCTAATTAGAATATTGCATCATTTATGATTAATTTACAATTGCATTATGGATTAAATGGAGTGTCGAAAGATTTCAGTTATTTTAACTAAATCAGTTAGTTGTTTGCTCAATTTAAACTTTTTATGTTGTTTCAATATAAAAAGAATTAGTATCTATTATTAAGTAATTAATTAATTTGACCGAATTCATCTGGTCAAGGCTTCAACTGGAATTAATTATCTCTGAGGAATTTGGAAATAATTTCCTGAGAATATTGTTTTGAAGGAAGAACTCTGAGGAATTTGAAAAATTCTTCAGAAATCTCGTATAGAATAAGTACTTTGTTACTTTCTATTGATGACTTCCTTTAAAACAAATATTATCACACTTTTTTATACTTTAACTAAGCAAAATTAAAATCTATTAAATGAACTCTTCGGTAGCAATTAACCAAATATCCATTCTCATCAGATAGACGACTTACGGTTGAATTAAATATTTATTGAAGAGTAAAGCTATACAATTTACAACCGTGCAATATCTGATAATTTATAAAAGTCTCATACATTTGTATCTTTTTAAAGCAAGCGCTACTTTTTGATAGGATTGAATATATTTTTAAATTCTATCCAGCTTGATATCAATATACAGTTATAATATTTATAGATTTATATAATTTATAGATAAATTCTGTTATCTTTATACGATGTAATTGAAGATAATGAGTTGAAAATTTTTTAACACATTAAGCGTTTTATGGTTCGAACTATTTTATGGCTTGAAATTTCACATTTTAATGCACAAATCGAATTTGTGACCTTTTATCAACTGATCAAATCTTAATATTTATCTTTTCCCATTAACGTTTTATGTGATCTCAACATTCTCATGCCTTTTTTTCTTTTCCTTTAATTCAAAATAGTGCTACTTATTGTACCAAATATTCATATATTTGGTTATTATTTTATTAAATATATTGTTTTGAGAGTTTTAAAAATTGTATTGTATTGTATTGGATGATGTAGTAGAAATGGAGGAAAATATAAGATATATGTGAGACGTTGCAGTTCTCTCAAAGGAACAGTATAAGGGAATGCCAATGAAATGTCACTTGTCTACATTACACTTCTTCTTGTCGCTCTATCAAAAAATCCTCTTGTCAACTCTCAACTTATTTGCGCCAATGAAGCTTCTGGGTAAGTCTTTCATTCTATGTGTTGAATGATAGCTGGAATTAAGGTTTCTCGATCTAGAATATCTTTGAAATTCTAATCATTTTCACACTACGTATGAATAATATATAAAAGAAAGAATTATCAATAGTTATAAACTGATGAGTGTGATTTGATACCGAGGTAATGCGGGAAAATGAAAGTGAAACATAAAATGAATATGGAATGATGGCTTTTGATTTCAATATCTGTTGAACAAAAAGCAGAAATTTATGAAATAAAGTCTTAATTAATTGTCTCTACCACCTTATTTTTTTCCAGCGCAATATGTTAAAAGAACGCTCACTAAGAATATCTATCATTTGTTTATTTTAGTTTAAATGAGAAAAGAATATGTTTTGATCTCGACAAAGGTCGCTTTATTAATCCAAAAATAGGCCGAAATTCGATATATGATATAGAAGTGAATCTTAAACAACAAGAAATTTCATTAGGCCGAAGTCGAAGAAAACGTATCTTTTCTTTTACTCTTTAATTATTGAAATCAGTTAATTAATTTAATTTAATTTGTTGTTGAAGGAAAATTAGAAATAAAATTTTGTTCCAAAAAGAAATTGAATCTGAAAAAAAATTGATAAAAATCTTTCTCTTTTATTTTAAAGGAAGAATAATTGTATTTTTCTCTGACAGATAAAAATCGTCTCTCACTTCTTCTTTTACTTTTTTATTTTTGAAATTCAAATAAAAATTTTGTCGAATCAAAACATCCCAAAACTCTCTTATTTATCTCAAATTTAAAGTAATTTTTATTATATCTCAAAATAAAAATTCCCTCAAAATGAAAATTTGGCATAAAATATTTCAATAATATTATCATTTCTTTTGTTTACGCTTTTTTTCTTTTTCTCTTTCAATTTGTTTACACTTTTGTTTGATTATTTCCTCGGAAAAATATTTTCAATGCTTAAAGTATAAAATTGAAAAAATATTAAATTTCATTTTTCAAAAAAAAAGCTTTAAAAATGTCTATGTTTTATATATATAAATTATAGCACGAGCATGTCGTGGCTACAATTTTTATCGCCGCTGCCAAAAGAAATACGGAACGCATTTAGGAAGGTTGGAATGCCGATACGCGAGATGTTCCGTATGCATTACCAAACATTTACATCCGGGTTGTCCATTCTGCCATGCTGATAGTTAGCTTTTACTTACTTATACGTGTAAGAAAACTATTTTCAAGTTTCTTTCGATTTTTCAAGCATTCTTTTCAAATAATTAAATTAAAATTATTTTTCAAGTAAATAAATTAAAATTATAAATTTCATAGAATCAGTATTTTGTCCAGCTGTCGAAACATGCTCTTGTCCGTGGAAAGCTGGCTATGCTATTTGGGATTCATGTAGGCGACAGATCAATGATCGATGCTATGGTTTTCAAAAAAATTAACATCATACATATTCAAAATTATTTCAATTTCTGTTTAGTTCCTAATTAAAATTTTTCCCTTTCAACTATTTGATATAAATTAAAAAACAGTCAAATAATTAAAGAATTTCTTCTTCCTTTCTTCATTTATAAAATAACATTTTGAAGTTTCAAAATTAAGAATTTTACAGTATCTATTATCAATTGAATTTGTCGCTAAAAATTATTTTCATTTGTAGCAAAATGAAAACAATTTTGTAGATGTTAATGCAACGAAATCAAAAAGGAACAAAAAGAAACGTCGAAAAAAGTATCGCTTCAAATTGACCAATGGACATTGAAGCATTTTGGTTTTTCCAGTTGTAATCCATTCAGAATCTTTCATGAGAACATCAGATAATTCTTATATGATCGAAGAAAATGCTCGCAAATTATATAGAAGGATGTGCCAGAAAACTGATATTCTCATATTTATCAGACATCAAAAATTTTTCATGTGAAAATTTTTGATGTCTGATAAACTTACTTTAACTCAATTCTGAGTAATAATTTTGATTTGCATAAAAAATAATTCAAGATTTTGCAAATTTTTTGCTTGATATGATAGAATAAATGATATATATCGATGTTAATTTATTTGAAAACAAATAAAATAAAAGGTCGCAATGCAAACCAAAGCAATGTATAATTTGCCAACTTCAATACCGCGGGAAATGGAAATCTGGGATGGAAGAGAAGGTATAATAGTATATATAGCATTTTCATTGTACACTGAAAATTGCTTAAAATTGGATTCCGAAATTTAGCACAAATTTTATTCTTCATTTGTTTGATGCAATTCAAAAACCTAAAGTTTCGAGTAGAAATTTCAAAACTGTTTAGAGTGTTCAGCATAATCTTCTCACTATTATTGATTATTATCAATTACTGTTTTCAAAATTTAATAAAATCTTAATCAGTTCATTTGCCGAATTAATCGTTTATGCCTTAGCCATTAAAGCATCTCTCTGATATGATAGAGTGAAGAAATTGTTGCCCCAAATTAACTTCACTAGAATTTCAAGAAAAAATTCTAATGCCAACTGATTTACCTCGGTAGAATGGTAGATGATGAAAAGCTTTAGAGAATAACATTGGGGAATTTTCCACTTTTGGATTTCGAACATGTTTAAATAATGCTATCAATGGACAAAGAGCTGCTCAGGCTTATATTCATAAGCTAGGTAATTGGACACTTTTTGATTGGGCCATTTCTTTTCAGGTAAAGTTACCATCTTTTTTTATGAATTTTATTAACGTTGTATATTTCAAACAAAGCAGAAGGGATTATTATTCTTGAGAGTATTTGTACTTTTTGTGCCTTTATCTATATTCTTGTCCAGCAATTTCAGGCTATCATTATTATATTTAATGTACTGAGTGCATTGGTAGTGAGCATTGTTGAATATTTGAGTCCATGGCCTATGCTACTTATGGCTTTAATTTTATTCACTCCTATTTTTCCAACATTATGTTCTAACCAACACGAAGGTAAACCAACGAGTATAATGAAATAAACAAGTAAACAGGTTGACAAAATATTAATTTGTCGAATTGTATGGTTGCAACGATAATATATGAAATTATTTGAAATGGATTGAAATAATTTCAAATTTTTAGAAAATTTGAAACTGTTTGGTTGGATACAATTAATATGTGGCTTTGTTGAACTGTTCTGGTCCAGTTGTGTTTTACTTGACATGCATTATCATCCCAACGATTGGCGTGCATACTTCACTATGTGTACCGTGTCATGGCAGGTTGAAGTAACTTTCTTAATTAATTTTACAGATAAAAATATAAGTAACACATAGTACTAAAGAAAAAAGAAACCATTGCGATATCATTTTGTTTTACTTTCGACCTTTCTGGTGATTCGGTGAATTTATTTCCTAATAGTCAGCCATTTTTTCAGCTTAAAATTAGTTACCCTTCTTGTTCTACAATGGTATGGAATGAACTGGGTTGAAGTTGAAAAAAGTTTTTAAAAGTTATGAAACGGACTAATTTACATTTGATCAAAATAATAAAATATTTCATTTCCATATTTCGTGTATTTCAGTTCATATCAGTAATTCTGATATCAGCAGAATGTCCAACATTGGAAAGGATAATAAATGGTCAAAGAAATGGAAGAAATGCTGAAAGTAGCATTATTACTGAACCTTGTAAGTTTTGTGTTGAAATTAGATGATATTTGATTTAAATTGTCATTAGATGGATCATTAGAAACAATTATGCAAATTCGTATCCTTTAAAAGTATCAAAAGATTGAAGGAAAAATATAACTAGAATGAATGAAATGATTTTGCAGCAACTTCTAATGTTGATTTGCGTATTGCAAAACTTTGTGCAACTTTAAATTTCGAAAAGCAACGATCAGATGAAAGAAAAAAGAGACAAAATGAAAGGTAAAGCAAACAAAAACTATTAATTGTGAAAGTTAAAAGAAAGAAAGAATAATGTAAAGTTTCGAAAAAATTAAAATTTTGAAAAGAATTTCAGTGAATCATTTTTATGTTAATTGTAATAAATAAATAAATGATATATCTTTTTTAGATTGAAAATGAACGAATTAATTAAAGACTCGAAAGAGATTGCCAATGGCATAAAACAATGTAATTTTATTTTGAAGAAAAGAACATTTGTTTCAAACAGTGACAATTATAATAATTTAAAATTTCCCGTAAAGTTGCTAATTTCAAAATATTGATTTCTATGCAAAATTGAAAATACCACTTTATACCACTTTGTAACAAAGTAAGAATGAGCAGTTAATTTAAGGGTAATTAATGATTAAATGATATTTGCAGCAGGAGAATTTGACTTACGAACTGCAAGAGACATTTCTGACTCAACTATTAATAAAATATCAGATCTGAAGACTGTCAAGGAACAGCAGAATGGTAAAGTGTTTGTTATTTAGCCTTGAAAATTTAAAGATAAATTTTTGATTATAAGTCTAAAATTTGAAAACATTTTGACAAATTCAATTAAAATCAATCTTAAATGATAATGCTTATAGCGCAAAGAAAGCGAAAGGAGTAAAGACTGAAATGATAACAACAATTTTGAAAGGTTCGTTTCATTTTCAATCCGTGAAAGATGATAAAGACCACTAACCACCTAATTAGAGCAAAGTTCTAGAAGATGGGCTGATAATGGAAGAACAAAAGAATGTGAAATCATCCTTTTTGTAATGTCAACCTCATGTGGCTCCGTAGTTCTTGGCTCTATGGTTGTTTAAGCATTATGAAATTTAAATAGTTGAAACAATCTTGGCAATCTTGGCTTTATAGTTGTTTAAGCATTATGAAATTTAAATGGTTAAAATTTTGATGTTTTATTGATATTTCAAAATAAAAAAGCAATGTTAAGATAGATGTTGAAAATGGAAGAATATTGTTAATGAAAACATGCATCGATCTTATTAAATTGCACATTGTCATGCTAACTTTTCAATAAATAAAAATTTATATCCAACCGTTTTTGGAATGTTCTTGAGTATTTCAAATCGGATAATTTTAAATGCCATTGAAAAATGTAAAATGTAAAATATGTGACCATTTAAATGCATAAAATTCATTTGGTATAATTTTAATTTAATGATAAAATTTTTAGTAAAACACAAAAATGTTGAAGAATATCAAATTCGTTCCATAATTTATAATTGAATAAATTACGGTAAATAAATTTTTTGCATTCTTTTTTTTAAAGGAAACAACGAGTACTAATTACCTGCAACACTTTCAATCAGAAAAAAAGATGTTACTTTTTTACGATTTAAAGACCTCAAAAAAATTTTTTAATTTTTTTAATCTTAGCAGTACTTCAACAATATTATTTATTATATTTATTTATTGTTGTTATTATTATTTATTATTATTATTATTATTATTATTATTATTATTAAATAAAATAATGAATCGATTGTAATGCATAAAAGAACCTGCTGAATTTTTCATTAAAAACATTAAATGCTGGCTTTTATTTCAAAAAAGCCGAAAAGAACATAGCAATCTATGCATTTTTTGTCTCTAGCTTAAAACAACTGAAAACTTTCTAATGAATTTGCAGAAATTATATTTTGTTGCTTTGGAAGTTTAGAAAACGGAAAATGATATGGTCTGCTTATTAAGAGATTGCAATGATGTTTGTTGTGAAGTCATTACATAACAGTTATGAAGTTACTTCATACAGAAGACATTTCGAAAATCACAAAGACGAATAAATAACATTAATTGATAAGAGTAAGAAAAATGTGATACAGAATGATAAGTAATAATCCCAACCTTCACGATGACTTTTTTTTAAAATAAAAGTTACAAATTCGAGAATATTAAATTATGCAGCGTTTACTTCTTGGGATAAAGTAGTGTTGTTTTAATATTTCAAATTTTATTGCAGAATTAAATTTTCTAAATTGTGATTTTTATTAATTTATAAAAATTGATTTATTTTATGGAAGCAATTTATAAGCACAATATTACAAATCACGAATATCGCACGAAGTGCTCTTCTTTTTCCTTACTTTGACATAACTTTTCTACATTTCATCGATGGACGAAGAATCTAAGAGAAATGAAATCTTAATATCGGAAATTTAAGTGTTACTATCATTGTTAAATGAATTTAAGCAAATTAATTAGTAAAAATTGTTTGAAAATCAAATTCTGATTCATCTTCGATGCAAAATCAATCGATAAATTTTAAAACTACTTTCACATTGCAATATGATAAGAAAATGAGGACTTGAAATGTGCAAACAAGTGATTCGTCGACATTCATCATAGCAGCTGCATTATCAAATTGTCCGCAATAATGAGGCGCAGAAAATATTGTCACCAATTTACGATTCGCAAAAAATTCATAACCATCCTTTAAAAAAATTCGTTCATTTCAGCAAATGATTAATAGTTTATTTTAAGTTTGTTTAAAGTAAAATAATAATTGGGGAATTTTATACTAATTTGGATTAATATGAGGCCATCTATGGATTATAAGTCGATTTTCCCACCTATAACTTCTTCTTGCAATAATTCTAAAAAAATTTTATAATAAAGTACTTGAACAACTTGATGAGCTCGAGCAATCAGATCAATATCTAATTTTTGGCACATTTCTATGACAACATCAGCACCGAACGTATATGATAATCCACGATTGTTTGCTTGCCATCCTTTTATAGATGGATCAGGATCCGACCTGCAAAATGATTCAAGAATATTCATTACAGTTTTTTAAAACGAAGAAAACATGAATGGAATATTATATCATTGGGAAATCTAACAACGATGTTCGATTTTCAAAATTTACACGTAGACGTAAGTAATTTCAAATAGCAAATTTTAAAACTTGCTTCACTTTTGCAAATTATGAAAACCGCATGCATTTACTGCATGATTATACGATCGTTGCATTTTTCTAATACGAAGAATTTATAGGATTGAAACCATAATAAATCGATGTGAATGGATGGATTTGGAGGATCAATAGGTCGAGTAATTTGTCGAAGCTGATCCATACTTCTCAATTGTGGTGATAGGCCACCATGCATGCACAAAATTTTACCAGCAACTAGGCCCGTAAATGGCATGGTGTTGAATACTTCCTGCAAATGGACAATAAATTAAAAAACAGAGTTTGAAAAAAAATAAGCTAAACGTGAAATGTGCAACAGTAGAAAGCAATACATTTTCAAAAAGCAACTGAAAGTTGATTGAAAAATCAAACTTGAAGAACTTAATGGCGGAATGAACGAATTTTTCGAGAACCTGAAATGTTTGCCACAACCGTACACTTTGATAGCGACGATTACATTCTTCGAAGAATCCGTAGACTCGATTGATAACACTACATTCGTGATTACCCCGAAGCAAGAAAAAATTCTCTGAGTATTTCACCTTAAACTACCAAAGACATGTTAGTTGCAAATGATGAAGTGAGCTAAAATGTGAAATTCAAAAAATTTCTTTAGGAATCTCAAAGTAATGGATAAAGCATTAATAGTAATCCATAAGTGATAAAATTTTTTTCATGGAATAAACTGATATAAAATACCTTGTAGCAAAGGAGTAGAGATATAGTTTCAAGATTTTGTCTTCCACGATCAACATAGTCGCCGAGAAACAAATAATTGACAAAAGGTGGGAAACCGCCGCGATCAAATAATCGAAGTAAATCTGCAATGGAGTGAAATTCTAATTTCTAAGTTTTTCATGTTATCGTCTATTATTCGATACAGGTAAGAAAGTTAACAGAAAATTATTATCAGTAGAAGAAAGCATAAGCCCAACATATATATCAAATATATATATGTTTATATACATATACATATATATCTTAACATAACGAAAGAGAAATTAGAGTTCCTACCTACAATTAGTCCACTATACAGTAATCCTCCGAGAAAAGTACTCGATCAGTGATCCTAACCTGATTTGGAAAAAAGTTGTTTTTTTCAGAGTTGTTAGTTTTTTGAAATTAGTAAATGAAAAGATTTCATTTGACCAGTGTTCCGTAGTTAAATTGAGCCGAAATATTGTGATGTTGACCTGCATATTGACCGTGTGTGTCGCCGCAGATTCGGATCGGTGGATCAACCTCAATTAACGAATTTTGCGACATGAAAACTTCCTTAGCTAAAGTGCACAAATGCATAATTTCTTGCTCTTTAACAGTTTTCGTCAGACTACATCCTGGGCTACCAACATTCAATAGCTTGCAAATTAATTCGTCCAAATCCAATTTTTGCGCCATATCTAACACTCTGTAGAAGTTAGTGCAACACCGCTTCGACTGCTAATCTTCAAGTTTCTAAGAATTAATCTACATAAATTTCGACTTATTTATTTTAAATGTTAATTTCAATTTTCATTTATCAATATTCACCAACTTTTGTCTTGAAAACAATTAAAGAAGGAGAGAAATATGATGAAGTGAATGGTTTAGAAAAGAATATTCTGAATTATCTGCAAAATTTCATTGGTATAGTTCATTTATAAACTAAAAAAATTGGACTACTCCAAGATTGTTGCACGAATAAAACAAATTGATTTGCACGGAGAAGAACAACTGCCTGAAAGCTTACAAAAACTTGAAATAAAAACGGCTAATTGATTCCATTCAATTTATAAATTCTAAATATATGCTAAATTTTCAAAAGTTATTGAAATTGACGGGAAATCTTGAAAAAGAGAAATAAAGAAAAATAAACGAGATTATCAAGCATTGATAAAAAAGTATTGGTAAAAATATAAGCAAATTATTCTCAGTAATTAATAATCATAATGCATGAAAAAAATATTTATAAAGGCAAATTCCTATTCTATTCTAAATTAATTCGGCTTTTCATTGCATTCCTTTAATTTTTAATTTTTTTAAAAGCTTCTTTATATTGGATCAAAATATTGAAGTTTTAAAACATTACTGTAAAATATTGAAGTGATACGAGCAAGTACAGCTGATCGCTCTTTAAAGCTGTACTATTTTTGAAATCAGAATCTCCGTACAAACTCAGCAAATAGTTATGAAAATAACAAAGTATTATATGGTAATAATGATGACTACATTGTTGGTTTCACTGTTTAGAACATGCAAATATTTGAATTTCCTTTTCTCACATAAATTCCACAATCGTAATATTGTTATTTATTCTTTTAATAAGCTTCTGTCAAAATTTTTCAAGCAAATTAATATATTCAAGATTTCGCGTCCCGTGTTAATGAATTGCATTGTTGCATGCGCATCACGCAACATGAAAATATTTAAAATTAAGACAATTTTATTCTAATAAAAACGTAATGAAACAATTCGGAAAATCGTAAAATTTTTGGTTTCTGAAAAGTGTCTTCCGCAACATCAAACATCATTATGTTTTTAACATACAAATAAAACAATCACGGAAGTATTGTTTGAGTGCCTTAACAACAGTGGCACTGAAGTAGTAACATAACAATAACTCAAAAATTTCGAAGATTGACCGATCGAAAAAGAACGAATTCTTTTCGCAGAAAAAATAATTACCTGCGCCTACATTAATTCATAGTGCCAATTGATCATATTAATTTATACAAATTATCCAAAGAACATTTGAAACGGATTTCCTCTCTTGACTGATGTTGCACTTGGCTCTGAATAATACGAATTTTCAATCCAATGATTTAGTTTTATTCATCGCCTCATTCCTGCAGTTGCACAACATAAACACTTGGTAAATGTGAGTTTCATTGATTCCACTTCAATATCGTATTTTAATCCTGCAAATATAAGAGATCGCCCTCACCTCTACTACCGGAAATACGACTAATCGCTCACTCCATTCCTTCAGAAAAAATCTTCAATGGAAAGAACGTATTGCATATTCCATTGCATGCTACACTGAGTGTCATGAAATGGAAAATAACGCGGTGGTTTGTTTCAGGTTTATGGGCTTTATATGAATGGCTGGGATGGAAACTAAATTTTAGTTTTATAAATTCGGCAAGGAAGAAGACTACGTAGAATTTTGATTTTATAAATTTTTATCGAGAGAGAAGGCTACGTAGAATTTTTAGAATTTGAAGAAAGAGAAGGTCGTGTGGAAAAGTATTAATCAATTTTATGCTGATGGCTTATTCCATTTTCGTGCTCATTAAACTCGTCGAACCCTTGTTGTTAAATGATTCATATAAATTGTTTTTTTAGCAATCCTCTCACTTTTTCTTTTGAGTATTTTATTTTGACGACTGCCTTTTATAAAAGTTTGAGATATCTCATTAATTTATTACGGATTAAAAAAGGATTTTGTTTCATATAATAATGGCTTCTATTCGCCTTTTTCAGGATTTTATCGCGCATAGTTGTTGTGCTGCATTTTCAGTATTTGATGGCAGAATCTTCGAGGATCTTATCCGCTTGCTGTTTTTTGGGTGGTAGGATGATTCAGTTCACTTCATTGACAACCAAATTAAGTTTCCACCAAAACAGTCGTCAATACTGCACTGTTCGTTTATTATTTTGATGCTATTTGTAAATAAAAATGGAGGTATCAATATACGTGTCTTTCCTTTGCGATGGTTCTTAATATGCAAATATCCTCAATATGTTATAGATCGTATAAGACAACCGGATACCATTCCGACATTGTCAAGAGCAGATGATCTGCTTTATTAACTTAATTAACTTGGTTTAAGATGTTTAGGTGGGAAGTCCAATAGCACATCTTATCAAATTATATGGTTACAAAAAAATTTTTTGAGCAATGAATAAATAATTTTAAACGAGCAGATTTATTCACCCTTTGTAGCAAAGCGAAATTGCTGTTACGATACCCCGCACTCTACGACCTTCACCTCGCTTGATCGCGAAAACTGATAATAACAACAAATTTTTACGCCTTTTATTGGAACTGGAATTGCTATATGGAGTTGCTGAAACAAGATTACCGACTTATCTCACAGACAGCGACTGGATGAAATATATTCAGATGACTAGTATTATCGAAAGATGTTGCTACTTGCATCAGCTTTATGAAAGTAGAAAAGAAATTAAAGGGAATCTTAAAATAAAGGTGTGCTTATTAAGTTATCGGCTTTGTTGAAAAGAACGAAGTTGTAATGATTACTGAGTTTATCAGCAGTGGTAGGGTGTTGACAACGGGGTAGATGTAAAAATTTGCGATGTTAGCAATCCAATTTTTTTTCCACTGTTTCAAAATCCACCCTTATAACTCTGTTTGTTAACTGGGCCAGTATTTACATATATATCTTGGCAGTAAGTATTAAGGGATATCTTGGCAGTAAGTATTAAGGGAATTTTCTTCTGTCATATTCTATTTTACTTTCTAAAAGGCATCAAATAAGAAGCAGAATATATTTATTTTATTTTTCAGATGCATGAAGAAGAGGAAATTGGTCATAATGGACGCTTTCCTATCAGCACTCTTTATTACTTCAAAAGAGAAGATTTCAGAAGTATTTTATTTAAATGATTTCATATAGCTTCAAACGAGTTTCATTTTACTTTTAAAATTATTAAAGCCGTTTGTTCTTACTGCTGAAATTTGTTTGAGCAAAGGCATTTGGAAAACATATATATATATAATTCTTGCAAGTGTACACTGAGGAAATATCAATGATGAAACTAGATTTCAATGAGTGAGTGGAAGTCTTTAAACAACGGCAGTCATAGAAAGCATTACTATGCAAAGTATCTCAATAAAGTAATACATTTTGAAGTTTTGAAGAATTTGCTTACGAAATATTCGGTTCTCGATTATTAGCTGCATGGCGCTGTAAAGATGCGTTCCCGCCGTTATTAGTTGATTGTTGTTATCTAGCCGATTTGAATCATTCAACACAGAGAATTCTAGTAAAGTATTTATTACATTTCATATGAAATTTAAAATAATAAAATGCAGATAAAACTGAATTGAGTAATGGATTTTTTACATATATCGTAACACTCTGTCTTCCGATTAACGTTCGTCTGTTAAACAATGCTGTATTAATTTTTTGGTTTTTTTTTATTTTATTACGGTGTAAATTGTGAAAACTTTCTCTTATGCTCTTTAGTAGAGATTAATTATTAGGTGCTTTAATTCATTGTGTGTGAGATATTTTGATTTGATTCAAATTGGTCAATCATCATTATAAAAATATTCAGTAAATCAGTCATAAGAAAGGAAGTAATATTCCTTGAAATAAAGCAATTTTTTTCATTTAATGAAAAAGAAAGTTTATGAGAATAATAAAAAGAAAATGGTAAAACGAAAAATGTTAAGTTGCGCTCTATGAACTGATTTCAGGCAGATGAAAGATCTGCTGCTCGACAACAGCCTTCAGCGAAATCCTTTCCCTGTCGTTTTTGTAAATTATCGTACTACAATTAACACCGCTGAAGAAATTGTGAAGTAAGTTTCAAATCATGACTTTTTGTGAAGCTTATATATAATAATATAGCTGGTGGCATCACTTATAGTAAAATGTAAATTCAAATGTTGTTTGACCACTTTAAAGTCCACTCCTCAACAAGCAGAAAAAAATTTTCACCTTAAGTGGCCGGAAGAACTTTTTAAGAAATCTGAGTTTAACCCAAAACATGGCTGATATTAAGTTCATGGCTTCGCAAACGTTGTTTACCAAAATATCGTCCGCCCACTGTTAATGGAAATGAAGCAGAGCCTGAAGAACCTTCCGATCAGAAAAGTGACAGAGGAAAGAAGGATCGTATCAGTGCTCCATTTGTTCCTGTTGTTACATCAGCAACAATTCGTGAATGCCTCGGCTGCATTAGCCCTGGTATGATTTCAACAAACTTTAATGCGTCATACTTAGCAGCTTTTTTTGTTTTTTGTGGGTTTGAATCTGAGTTATATCGATTTTTATGTAGGTCGGCCCCTTATTTATTTCTAAGAACATAGCTTTCAAAAGAACTGATTCGTTCATATGTATTTTCTTAAGAATATTTAGGAAATTATAGTTTCCGGTGGAAAAGAAATTATTTGTTATTGCACAACTCTAATTCTGATTATGGTTCAAATGAATACACAAGAAATCTGTTTTCAGAAGAAATTGCTTATATTAATCCGCGAGCTGCAGAATATTTACCACGTCCGCTTTCGAAATATAAAGCATTTGTATTGTGCGCCACTCTGGACAACAAATTAATGAATTCTGCTTTTCAAGCAGCCAAAACTGAGCAGCTAAATTCATACAAATTGCCCATCGCTAAATTTTTGAAGTAAGCAAAAATCATTTATAACAGCGTAGTAGCAAACTTCAATGAGCGTTCTTGCTTTGCTTTAATATCAAAGTGACAGCTGCGGGAGTATCTCTTCCGATAGACTCAAAATTTTAAAATACTTACAGTCTGGGCCAAACAGCAGTTATAATGCCCCTACGCATCACAGCAAACATAATTCGTGACGTTTACGCAACGGATTGCGAGTGGAGAACGGCATTCAACAAACGTATACCTTATTTCGATGTCTTGGCTAGTGATATGTATCGAAACCACGACAGTGATAAGGATACTCTTGAGGCAGTTTTTTATTTATATTCCAGTACCTCCTGCTTAATTTTTATGTTAAACCGAAATTTTCGATTAGATATTTTGAGCGGTGACGCTAAGAGTTAGTTTTTTGAGTAAAATTTCAGCACTGACATTAAATCATGAGGAATTGATGGTTTATTTTGACGCATAAGCCACTACCGTACCACTTTTTCTCGTTTTATGAGTCATTTAATTTAACAATAACTATTGATCTAATGATGATTTGCGTGTTTTCGGTACAACATCTACTTTAGTGGAGTTTAGAAATTGCGTCATGTTGTTGCTTTTCAGGTTATAGGACAATGGATTTCGGATGCTGAACGAAGAGGGAAACGAAGAAGAAAGTTCTTTCATTTATATAGTAGGGAAGAACGAAGAGCAATACGGGCGATGCCTGCAGAACAGAATCTGTCTGGAGGATTAAATTAAAATTGATCAATGGTCAAGGACATAAGTTGAAGGAATGAGAGACTGAGGCAGTAAAAAGAAATAAGAAATAAGTATAAGATATAAAACTATTTTAAAAATAACATACTTTCACAAATTGAAGACTCATTTATGTCGTCAATTCGCTAGAAGTCTTTTAATTTCATTCCTCGCAAAACATCTTTTTAGAAATGCCATGACTCCACTTTTTATCATTCATTTACATGACAAAATAAATACGCTTGACATGCTAAGACAGGTTGTGCAGAAAAGAAAAAACTTTTTAGAAAAATTGTTTTCAGCTATAGCATAACAACCATACACTTGTCATTAATATAACACGTTAGATTAAATTTATCAAGAAGAAACAATAGTACGCTATGTGCGAAATCGAACACTTTTCATTATCAGTGAAATAAGACGGTTCTGTCAAAGTTTTTCAGTAAATCTGGAAAGCGTAGAAAATCCAAATCGAGAAGAGTTGACGAAATTGATAACAAACAAGACTTTTAAAAGCCGATTGTTCCTACGACATTGTTTGAGCAAATCTACCAAATCTGATGAGTTTTTGATGGTATGACTGATTCCTTAAAGTTTCAAATAAAGATGAATGGAAGATATAAACAGTATTACAAGTGAAAGTTGCAAAAATTTTTTGACACATGATAATTAAATCGTTCGTTCAAAATTGTAAGCTTATCAAGCCTTATCAACGAATTTCTTAAAGAGTGGTAATGAATGGGAAAACCAAATGGTCACAAGGTACTAGTTTTGGCAAAATGAAGTTGCCAAATTTATCGGTTTACTAGAACTTTTTCGAAAGAAATTCATGGAAAGAATAGGTTTTACACTTGTATTTGGTAACCGCAAAAAAGGAGTGTAAGGTTTTCTATAAAATACATGTTTAGAAATTTATAGCTACTTCGGAACCTGTTTAGCAAGCAATGCGTCATTTCGCACAGAGTTGGTTACAAATGCTGTGGAACCTTTCGGTAGTACACCAACTTTTTGCGCTAAATCAGCAAGTCGATTTGCCTGTGGACTCTTTTGTTCATCGTCAATAGTCTGCAAAATTGTTAGTAGTATTAAAAATAACGTTCCGTGGAAGAAATAGTTCACAAAAAAAGTAGTGGTGGATCATTACATCTCGTCATCTGGTCAGCGAAGGTAAGCTATCTCGGTATAGACTATTTTAAAACGCGGTTAAAAAGTAATTCTACACAGATGGATAAGTAATGCTGTCATGTTCAAGAAATACTTACTCTACGTGTAACCACTCGATATACAAGTCCATCTTCACCAACGTAAAATACTGTGAGACCATCGTACCATTTCAACTTAAACATGAAGTTTGAATTCCCGGGGAAATCTCACTATTTGTCTATTTCCTGCAGTGATGGAGAATACGTCACTGTTGTTCGAATAAACTAGGAAAGTCATAAAACCAAGGAAATACCCTTTTGATACGGTATTCATACTTAAACAGCATAGGATTCAATAAGGATCGTATAAATGAGATGTGTTTTATACGCCATCTTAATCGTACTGTTCCATCTTCTGAGATCGGTAAAATATTCAAAACCTAAAAAACAGTAACGATCCAGTAATTAGTCACTATAAGCAACTAGAGACTACAAGTATGTTTAAAATTATAAACAAAATAACCAGAAAATGGACCTACCTCCATCTCTATATGAGGAAAACAAAATAGACATATTACACTAATTGAACCGAAATAGGCCATGAGTTTGTCTCGACCCCTAGAAAAATAAAATCATGCATGAAAAGTGTAAGTGGCTGGTTTCCTATTAACTGTACACTGATACAACTAGTGATCAAACAAACTCAAAATGCCAGTCATTAAAATAATTTTTTCGTTTAATTCATTTAATAATACCCAGCACATTAATTCAAAGTCGATGAAAAAAAATGTTAAATATTGAAACACAAAAAGCCCAAAAGGTTTTCGATTCATTATGCACCATTACGTGGGATGTTCATTACAAACAACGTTTTGGTTTACATACTTTTGAAATTACGCGGACTTCTCATCAAATCTAGGTACTGCATTATCCATACGGAAAATAACTTAACAACAAAATGACTCACATAATAGTCATATGAAAAATCTCATCCCTGTATACCACATCCGGCCTGTAAAATGTATAATCAGGTCGCTCCCGAAAGAATTGTGGAGCCTGAAATAAAACATGTGTTCATATTTTCCTATATAATCATGTGTTACCGCTTTCGCAGATATATATATAAACGATTCAGTAATGATATAGAACTGAGAGGTGCTTAAGGACATAAACAGTAAATTCAACACAAGCTTCAGACCATTTTGGAGTCAATTGCTAATAAGGACAAATCCAAAATGCTCGAAGCTTTCAAACTGCAAAAAACCTCCTTCCATCTCTTCCACTACTATATGCATGTGAAACTAAAAAGTAAGCGGAGGACATAAATTCTATGTTCAAATTTTTCAATTCAGAAAACCTACACACAAAGCAAAATTAACGAAGACTGTTACCGTCATTTCTATTCTTTTCCGTACATGCTCCAACTGAAACATTTCCGGTCCTCTGCTACCTTTTCCATTATTATAAGCACGTGAAACTAAAAAATAAGTAGAAGAGGGAGCAGCAAGATGGAGCAAATATCGCAATATCGTTCGCATTTGTACTGTTGTTACTAAAGCTGCAAGCAAGGATATAAATTCATAAAAACATGCTAAAAACATTGCTTGTCAACCAAAAAAACATGCGAAATTTTATATGCTTTGAAAGATTGAAATAGAAAAAAAGAAGAACAATCAAACGATTAGGAAAATCAACGCTTCAGAATGCACCAGTTTTATCCCTGACATTTGGAAAATAGTAGCATTTTTTGGCAAATACCTTAAATTCAATGGCTTATCAAATGGAATCAAACTTGAAATGTTCAAAAATAATAAACTGATCTGATCGATCAAAAAAGCGAGGTCTTTAGTAGAATAGTAAAGATGGTAAAAATAAGCGAAAATTATAATACAAGAATATTCACTTTAGCAAACTAGTTTCCAAAAAAAAAAGTAAGAAGCCATGACGGTTCTTGATAGGAATCAAGAACTTCTGCAACATGTATGAAATTAACTTTCTTCCATAAAGGAAAAAATTGCATTGTCTTTCTGTAGGAACTTAACAGCAAAATAAAAATGGCAGACGGAAAAAGAAAACGAATTTTAAGAGGAGTTATGATTCAAATCAACATCTATGCACAGATAGTTCACCGCTGACCTTCACCATTTCCAGTTTTCGCACTTTCTTTTAATTTTGATAGGATAGATGCATCTTCATTGTCATTCCGAGTTATCTTCAAAAATTAAATTAAATTACAAAAAATTATTTCGGAAATTGATCAGCAATGTTTAAGAAAAACAAGTGCTGAAATATAAAACTGTTGGAAATCTAACAAAAATTTTCAAAACTATTTATAAGCTTCAAGAATTCTTCAAGCAACTTACTGGCCGGTTATTAATTTTGTAAATACGTCCATTCTCATCAAGGTGAATATCTAGCGCTCCTTCAACGGTATCTGTTTGCTGCAAAAAACAAAAATAATAAGATTCGATACACAATTAACTTTGAGATCAAAAAACGAGGCATAAGTAATTAATTATAAAATTCATACCTGATGATATAATTTTATGGTCATCATCCGCCAAAGAACTACAACGACATCACTGTTTTCATAGATACATGATCCCAGTTTCTAGAAAGCAACTGCTTTGTAAGGATGTATTCACAAACAGTGCTTTATAATATAAATGCAGTGCACAGATATAAACCATACCTCAAACTTGCTGGCCGATTGCATTGCACCGAAGTATAACTTGGAGAGCGAAACACGTCTTACAAATCTCTCTATGCCTCTGCAAATACAAATTGATCTGAAATTCACTAACAAATTAAACAAATCAGATTTCCATAAATCACACATCTGAATGAGAGCCCGGCAGAATAATCACACTTTTCTACATATATAAAATTTTTTCTTAATTTGGCTTAAAAGGAAGATCACTTGAGATAATGAAAGAACAAATGAGTAACAAATAAGAAATGAATATTAAAATAAAATGTTGAAATTTTCTAAACAAAGTTTAAAACAAATTGAAAAAAACAAACGATACTGGGTATGTTGATTAAAAATCGAATCATCGTAGACAATATCTTTGGTACATAGCTTCATAAATTTAAAAAACTCTTTGTGATTGCTTAAAAATCCAGGTACCTAAAATGTACTCAATTTGCATCGCTTCATTTCCCGTTTCTAGAAATTTAACTCAAATTTGTTAAGAATAAAGTTAAGTTTTGCACACAAACTATAAAATAGCAGTGGAAAACTTTCTTTAATTCTGTTCCTATTATTCTTAAATCCTGATCCATTTTTAACGATAATTAAGTAAAATGAAAGTGAACATAGTATAGCAAAAGAGCAGAAATCAAAGAGAAGAAGACGTAACCAAAGTTCAATTCAAATATGAAATTTATGAAACCAAAAATAAGACACTGATAACTGAACTTCATATTTTAAGACGAACGTACCAACACATCGGTGAGTAAATCCACATAAAATAGCTGCTCTTTGGTTGGCAATCTCTCTTCGTTAGTAACTCTGAGACCCGCTGAAGTCGACGGATTTTTACTGAAACTATCGTGCATATATCGGGCCGAATCCAAAAAAGGTAATATTGGTCTTCGATATGGCCGACAATAATAGTACATAGGAGATCGCTGAAAAAAGTCTTGGGAGAACCTTCTTGCATAATCCAAAACTTCTCTCTCCTCCAAAAAGAAGAAACGAATTTTAAATTTACTGCATAATGCATAGAAAAACAACTAACAACCAAAAGATCGCGAATGTGAAATTCGACGCCGGTCAGTTAGAACTACAATAGGCGCTAGTATGATGAATAAAGTCAAGAAAAGTTCCTAGAAATTTAGAAAAAAATTTTTTCAGTAAATCTTCTGCAAAAGTTCGTTTTTTGAAATTTATTTGAGTCTAATATGTTACCCGGTAAAAGTACGATAGTAGTATTGTCCGTACTGATACCAATGAATTGCAGTTTCGTGGACAAACAATGACTGATCGTGGATATACAAATTGCTTCCACAGCATTGCTGCAATATCTTTATCGTTTTTTCAAAAGGAAAAAAACCATTTATATACTTCCGTCAAGATGTCAAAAATAATGATTACTGCTCTCATAGTAACATAATCACCTTGTTCGACTACTTATATCATATATTAAAGAATCTCCTAAATCTCCCGTCAGCTTTCTTGAATCTGTAGAGAGAAATAATTCAAATAATAGCTGTTCATTTCGCTCACATCGCCCATCCCTGCAGCAACAAAACGTTCAACCCTTCAGCTGATAGCTGCTTACAAAGAAACCGAAATAAACAGAAGCTGTTAAATGAAACTATTGAATCCCTCAGTTTGGAACTGAAAGGAGGAATATATCTCAGAGGATTAAGAAATTAATTATTTGCACCGTTTTATAATATTCCCTTTATTTGTTTTATTCCTATCTATTTTTAATTTCTAAGAATATTTTTCTAACTAATACCTCTTATTAATTCCACTTTTTAGATATTGCAAGATGTAAATTACTACGTTGAAATTTTCCCAAACAGGCTACAATTAAATGAAATTATAAATAAATTCAGCATTTTCATATCCTTTATTTGTGGGATAGTTATCCTCAAATATAATTGTTTATTGTAAGGAATAATAATAAATAAAAGAAAAACAAAACGAAATGTTGTTTTTCTTTACTGCTTTTTGAGATAACAATGAATGACCTAATTTGAAAATTAATTTTATTTTGATCTTCTTCTTCTTTCCTTTCTTTACTCGATGGTTTGTTCTATTTATAATCATAATTCATTGTTTATTTATTATATATCACTTAATAAACATTGTAATTAAAGCAGATATTTTAAAAATTTTTGTATTTTATTAGTAGCTGGCCACATTTATTTAATAATCGAATTCAGCTTTAAATTTCGTCGAAAACACCTTTTACAGCTGGTTGAAAGCAAAAAAGGGAAAAGATTAAAGCATTTGTTAGAAATCATAACGACGATTTCAAATGATGTATTTCCTATAATTAATGCAAATTTTTTAATAAAAATTTATTTCCAATATTTATTTCAAGTAACCGAAAATATGCGGACAAAATATTTCGAATACCAAATAACCGGAAATATGCTGGTACATGGAATATTTTTGAAAATAATACATTACAATAGTTTTAGGAGAGAGACTTGCCTAACAATTCTGTAATCGATTTCGTACTGGGATTATAATGTCCCGTTGCTGTCTCGAATTAAGTCATTTTAATCTTTCTTTTTAAATGACTAATAAAACTTGTAGTGAGAAGTAACGAATTGTAAAAAGGATAGATGACGATGAGCAAATATCAATTCAGAAAAGTAGAAAAAGAACATAACGATTCATGATTCTTGATATTTGTTAAAGTGATCATACCGGTATTTTCTGCTCTCTGGGTAAATCCTAACTTTACTGGGTGCTAAGGAAATAAAAGTTATTGTCGATGCAGTATTGATTTATGCAGACAAATATTGCTTGTGATTTCTCCTTCAACAGTTGCATTATCTAATTTGTCAAAGTTCATTATGACTCGAAAAAGGCACTCATCAAACCATTTAGTTACATCAATGATTTTTTTCATCTAATAAAGCGATGAGTTGTTGGATCGAAATTAACAACAAACTTTATTTTTTTTACTGCGATTGTTTCATGAAATATTTAGCAATCTCTTGTTTGCTAAGAGAAGTTTCTAATTTGGAAATTTTTAGAGGGTCAAATTTATGGGGATTTTATAGGTATGTCAAATTGTTAAAATCAAAATATGTTCGAAGCTGTTTTTGATTATCGTACCCAATTAATTTCTGTCAGTTTTGTCAATTGTAACCTAGTTTATTTGTGGAACATTGAAATATGTGATGCAATCGGTGAAATCATTTTAATTAGGGTCATTTTAAATGCTCCTTTAACGGATTCCTATTATAGAAGAATGATTGTTTAAGAAAATTATGTTTTTTTTTTTGTTGACATAACTTCAGATTTTGAATATTATTATTATTCATTGTGACACTATTATTCTTTGTTAATGAATAAGGAAATTAAAGGAAATTAATCTAAACTATACATAATATTAATGTAAAGATAGAAGAATGAAAGAGTTAAAAATGAATATTTTACAAAGTTATGAAATTAATATAGACAGATAAGTGTTTGCAATATTAAAATTAAAAATTCAATGTAAATTTATGTCTTCCTCTTCTTAATTTATCTACTGCTGATTCTTATACTACTAGAAAATTACACGTTCAATGATCAATTCATTAACAAATTCAATGTTTAAAAAAAATTCATGATGTGTTGTAATACAAGCGAGTTGTTGCAGGATGTGGTACTCATTGATAACAGCTATGATAACCTTAACTAGCTGTATTCTATCAATAACAGCATGTAAAATTAAAGTAAAAATGGAGTCGCAAACAAATGAACCATTTCAAATGCAAATTTATGTACCAGCAATCAAAATGAAAACCGAACGCGTGACATTTACAAAAAAAAATGAAATTCGTACCGCTTTGGTTTGTTGCTAATTTATTCATTTATGATAATTTCATGAAACATTAATCTTTTAATCTGTGATATCAATATTTTTCATAGATAGTTTTTTAGAAAGTATCAATTCTATTATTTTTTTTGCATTCAAAAATTGCTCTGAAATAGTTTTTTATTTCTAAAAATACTATCAATTTAATTGTGTAATAAAGTGAAGCATTCAGTGATTTGATAATGCATTATTAAATTGAAGGATGTTGAAATATTTCATAAATTTTACAAATTTTGTACTTGAACTGATGTGCAGTGCTGAAAGGTTATTAATTCAGTTATGTTTAGTTGATAAGAATGATAAAGTAAATCTTATGAACTCATTTAGATAAGACTGTATTGCTTATTGTTTTATGCTTCACATTAATATAACTTGAAAGGTTTGAGCTTTTTTTGAAGAAAAAAAGTAAAACATGAAGTTATATTTAAATTCTTTTCAGGTTAAAGGTGAAAATTGTGATCAGAAGCATTGGATCATTAAAACATGGAAGAAAATAGATAACAAATGGATTCCAGCAAAAGAATCTAAGGCAAAATTTGAAGGAGATGGTTCTTTCGCGATATCTGTCAAAGATGATCTATCACCGAAAATAAACAATCGTTTCGCTGTTTTATGTTCAGAAGGCAGTTGCTAACCATAAATTCTCGGACCTGAATCGCTCATTATGATGAGAATAAATGAATTTTTTAATAAATAAGAATGTAATTTATATTTTATATAATTTTATCGATTTATTTACATAATGCATCAAATTTCTTTACTAAACTAACTACTGATGGAAAGAATTTGCAAAGAATTTTTAATTTAACATTAATATTCAGAATTTAAGAATTTTTTTCATTATATTTGTTCCACTTTTCCACATTCATTTGTTGGCATCAGGGAGACAATTAATTTTGCTATCAGAATTAGTTCCAAAACTTACGAAGCACACTGAAAGTGCTGCAATTTAGTTTATATCCAAATGCTATGCAAATCTAAAGTTGGATTTTGTAATTAAGTTCTGACGAAGAAAAAATCATGCCTGTTGGAATTATGTTCATTTCGACATAGACATATGATTATCATCTTCCAAAATAATCTAGAAAAAAAATAGATTTTTTTGACAGTTTCTCGAAATGATGATGGATAGTTAATTATGATACTGAAATGACGATGACAAAGAAATAATACTGTTAATTAATTAGGAATGTTATTTTGGCAATTTTCAATTCAAAAATTTCTCTTGTTTCAAAAGTTCCGAAGTTATATATTCAAAGTTATACATATCAAAGTATTTCTATTAAATTCTTATTTTCAAAAGATTGTAGCGTTACGGTGATTTAAACTGCAATTATATTCGATGTAACAGATCTAATTCACGATGAATATCACAGAATCTCCAAATTATGTTATTTTGTTTGGCTGGAATGATGATTGACGGCGACTGCAAAGTGTTTGGATATCTTGACTAGTTTTAAAAATGTAAAGACAGCCACTAAAGTTTCAAAGATTTTGTAATTAAGGAAGTAAAATGCTACAACCTTTCAGAGAACTCAAGTAACCCTAGCTACCAAGTTCTCGATTGTTGCAATTTAATTCGCTTTAGCTTAAATTGCGATGCCTATGTTTACGACAAAGCCTGTTCAAATATATAGAACTAAAAGAAAAACGTGGCTAAAATTTTATCAAAATGACATAAAACCGTAAACATTTACAGAAATCACTCTGATCCAATCTCATAATCCACTGATAAGTACATATATTAGTTTCTATAAAAGGAAGTTTTCGATATTAACGATATTAAAAAAAGTGAATCATTATTACCATTTCTACTATCATGATCATAACGTTGACAGGAAAAAACAGATGTTACGATGAGTGAGGAGTGGAAACTGGACTGTCTATACATTTTGTCATTTTTTTCCAGAGCAGAGCAATTAAATTAATTGATCGGATAAGTTGCTTCTGCATTAACACCATTATTTCGCATACTTCGCGCAACAAAAAAAATCAATTAATTTGAAATTGAAAATTCGGCTAGAAAAGTTTCAATAAACCTTTCTTTATCATATGTGTCACATCCTTTGTAAGTTGGAAAGATTTCAAAAGAGTTTTTATTTGCCATATGTATGTTCAAGCTATGAATATGCTAGCAAAACAGCTTATATAAGATATATGTAAGCACATATAAGAGATGAATATAATGAATGTTGTTAGTCTTATCAGGAATACAATGAAAGCTTTCATAACTTTTACAGCAATTAGCCAAAATAAGATGAAATCCTAACATAACTTACGCTAAAGTAAGATCAAAATTGCATTGTCTAACACAAATGATATGTTTACAGCAGTATTAATGAAAATTAATAGAAACATTTTCCTCTTTCAAGCACTTCATCAAAAATGTGTGTAAGGAAATTACAAATAAACTTGTGTACTCATATCTACAATAAATACTTGCATATGTATTAAATTCCCCGCAACTCGAATTTTTCACGAAATTCTAGCGATGATATTATTTTTGTGGTGAAAGAAAAAAATTACTTTTGTCAGTGCACGATATAAAGTATTATGTATTACTGCAAAATATAAAACAAATTTAATCCTACTTAAAATTTAAAACTTTTCTCGAAACTCTAAGTTTGAAAAATCGAAGTGGTTGCTTCCAAATATATCCAGTGATCACATACCTGCTGTGGAAATGCAAATTAAGAAGCACTCATTATATAAGACTTGAATCAAAAACAAAACGTGATGAATCCTAATATGATGAAAACCAGAAGCTGCGAAAATTGGCTTCAATGCAAATAATAACAATTTTGATCCTCTTAAATATTACAGTTTGTTACAGTCTAAACAAATGCAACTTTTTTAATTATCTAAAGTAAAAATAAAATAAGCTTTTGGAGAAAGTAAAGTTTCTAGTAAAGTTTCTAAAGTAAAGTTTCTATAAAGTTTTTATTTTTTTTCGATATATTGGGTGAAGGTGCTCCGACACTTTCAAATCTAATATATTAAATGCTTAATTCGTCGCAAAAATTAAAAAATATTAACATTTCATTAAAAAATTTGGGAAAAGATTTCATTCTTAAAATAATTTATAGAGAGAACGAGAGAAAAACCAATTCACGACTTATCAACGAAATGAAAAACATTGTGACATATAAAACACACACAATTATTAGTATAAAATGTATATAACATATATTAGCTTAAAATATAAAAGCAGAGACCGATGAAACCGGTGAACAAAATACAACAGAAACAAATCAAAACAATTCTCTTAAAAGCATTTCAGCTAAACGGTGGAATAAACTAAAGAAACGTGTAAAAACTAGAAATTTAAGGTGCGAAAGTAATGAAATAAAATTACCAATTCGGTTGGTATTGTGCAAGTATAGTATTCGGCTTAAATTGACACCAGCTTATATCCAGATTGCGTTGAACATAGGACATCGGATACAATACGAAGATACCTCCAATTAGCCCCAATGTTAATATCCATATCCAAAATTTAAACGGTCCAAGTCGACAGCATAAATGGCATTGCAAACAATAAACCCAGATAACATTAATCCAAAATAGAAGCACATCAAGAAATACTGTACATCTGAAATACAAGACAAATTTAAAAGAACCAAAAGAAAACAAAAAACCATCTAATCAATGCCTGAAACTTTTGAGAATTATTTGTCACAAAAAGGGCATAATTATTCAAGGTACCACTTCTTCCGATATCACATCTGCTTACCAAACGCACTCAAAACACACAATCTCAAATTATTCCCTTAGTTCTCTAGATCATTAATTTTCTCAACTTCATTTGGCATGATTTTAAATGCAAAAGACTTAAGTTATCGAAAGGAAAAAATGATCCATTTATAAAAGACCATATTTATCAACAAAACTGACCTCCACAATATCATTAGCTCCATACTGTCATCACGACCATGCTTAAGCCAATTAAAATGAGCAGGAATAAATGTTTTGCGAATATTACCAATAAGAATCGCAAATGAAGCCATCATTTGCAAAATTTGCAACAGAAGTTCAATTGAACTAGAAATCGCTTTTTGCCTGAAAATATAGTAATATGCAATAAAAATATGCTTACCATTACCAATTACATGCACTAAAAATATATAAAGTTGTGATTGCACTTGTGCAGAATCATACTTGATCATAGAAATTAGCGGAAGCAGGAAATGAGGATGGTTAATGCACACTAACAGGATCTTTTTTATTAGTCAAATTGAAAGTGGTGGTATCTATTCTATCTAGATCATTAAAGTAAAGGAGAGCGGCTAACTATGAAATTTGAGTTTACCAAGCACAATGTAACAAAACCTAAGAACAGAAGAGCAAAAAAAAGTTTCACTTCGCTTCATATTTCGCAATGATGGCTAACTCAGCCCGCTTTTGGGCTCGCAGTCGTTTCTTCAGTACTCTCTGATCTCGTCGTTGACGCAGGAAAATTTCTTTCGCACTGGTAAGATCTCTTTTGTTTGTAAAATCGGGAGTGAGGATATCTATATCATCTGAAACGAAAATATTACGAAAATGAAGGCAAAAGAGAAGGCAGATCATCATGGTATCACCAAATTTCAGATCACCAATATATCATCAATAACTCGTTCATTCTGTTTAGGCTCAAAAGTACAGAATGAAATAAATTAATAGAGATGGAACAACAGTAGAGATATATATATATAATTCAAATTACTTTCTCTAACTGATGAGTCACGCCGTTCAGCACGGATACCGACGGGCAGATAACGACGTACTCGTTCAGTCAATCGTATCTGACTTCCGGCATCTGATATATTACTTAATCCATTATTTTTCAGTTCCACAGCATCATGTAAGGAATGTCTTTCTGTCCTAAAAATAATCTTGGAATAATAAATTATAAATGAAGAGCATTTGAGCTTACCTACATTCAATACAAAACTTGGCGCTAAAAAGTGAAGCCTGTAAAACAACTCAGAATCAAAAAATAAGAGGGACTGCACAAAAAATATTTGCAGCAAAAGAAAACATCAAAATTCTTGAGCGTGCTGTAAAATTAAATAATAAAAATTTGTACCCGCAGATAGCACAATACCCGCATTTTTTGCAGTTTTTTAAAGGCTTCAATATCACATTGCGAATATCAAATCGATTGCAACGTCCGTGTGTGGATTTATGCGAATAAGCTTCTCCATTCTCTTCTTCATGTGTTTCTCCATTCCCCTTTTCTCGTCGGATACCGACGGGCAGATATCGACGTACTCGGTCAGCCAATCCTATCTGATTTCTGGCATCTGATATAATATTTAATCCATTATTTTTCATTTCCACAGCATCACGTAAGGAATATCTTTCTGTTCTAAAAATAATTTTGAAATAATAAATTATAAATGAAGAGCATTTGAGTTTACTTCCATTCAATGCAAAACTTGGCACTAAAAAGTGAAGCCTGTAAAACAATTCAGAATCAAAAAATAAGAGGGAGAGCAGAAAAAATATTTGCAGCAAAGGAAAACAACAAAATTCTTGGGTATGCTATAAAATTAAATAATAATATGTACCCGCAGAGAGCGCAATACCCGCATTGTTTGCAGTTTTTAAAAGGCTTCAATATCATGTTACGAATATCAAATCGATTGCAACGTCCACGTGTAGATTTATGCGAACCAGCTTCGCGAACACAATTCCCTTCTTCAAGTGATTTTGCTGTGCGCTTTAGACGAGGCGGTGGTATGGGTGCTTCTGTATGAGTTAAAATGTTAGTTATGAATAAATGGCAAATTAGTTTTCCGGAAGAGTTGAAAATTTTTGGCAAAGCTTTTTAAAAAAGTGTGTCCAAAATTAACATTTTTGGAGGAAAGGAAGTAGAAAGGAGAGAAGGGAATGGAAAGTCGTGATTGTTTTTATAAGCGTTGTAGAGATATCCCATATCAATTCATATAATTCACTGTCATGCACCACTGCAGTGTATGCATAACCACATTTAAACTTACAATTTAGATCTAAATAAAAAAAAGAATAAATGAATGACCATTATGATCACACTGTCGCAACCTGTTGGCAGATGATATTACCGTTTCATTCATGAATATTCGCTTCCTGCATTCACATTCTTCGTTATCAGCTAGACTTGGAAAATTTAATTCTTCCGATTCCGTTCGCTTACTAAATTTGTTTCTCATTTAAATCAATTTTGGTGACTTTATAGATTAAACACATCCTTATCTTTATTAAACACATCCTTATCTTATCCTTATCTTATCTTTTCAATCGATCTTATTATGTTACTAAATCATCCCAGTTCAATATTTTCAGAGTGATGAAAGTCCAAGAAAAGACTAAGTGATAAAGGACAATGGATTCTTTTCCTAAATAGTACTTAAGAGGATAAAGCATTACAAAAGACTAACATTCCCGCAGCATCAACGTCTTCACCATCGCTTGAATCATTATCATTGCTTGAATCCTCCTCTTCTCGTTTTCCATCGTATGTCTCTGCTTCATTAATACCACGTTTTTGTTTTCTTTTCGTTTTTTGTAGTTTTCTATATTCAAGCATATAAATTTCCTAGAATAATCTTATCGTCGGCATAAAATATGTGTGAATGAATGTATTACTTGATTTGAAGTTTCAGAAACTTCTGGAAAATTTTAGTTCAAAATTAAAAATCTCACCTTATATGTATTATTCGGATAAAGAGTAATTCGTTTGCAGATCAAATTGCACCAAATAATCAAGCAGTTTTTAGTTCGCAATGGTTTAAAGCATATGCATAGGATTAGATGCATCCAGAACCACAACAAATCGTAACTTTTCCACAAAACGAAATAGATACAATTAAAATATATAGACGCAAACCAATTGAAATGAGCCAAAAGTGCTAGTGTAAGACGGTATGAGCAACAGAACAGAAAACGACACCAACGCATCCTTTTAGCTTACAGTAATGTTGCTCAGATGTATCATGTTTCTAATTCTGCAATATATTATGCAATTGAGGTCGCTCCTGATATTTTAATTACTCTTAAGTGCCAAGTATATGGTCAAAACGTCCTTACAGTATACATCCACATATTTGTATTTAAAAAGTTCTTACAAGACGCATTTATATCCAATTATAAAGGACATCATCATAGTGCAGCATAATAGAAATCAAAATGCAGAGAATTTCATCGGTTAAATATAACTGAAAGGTAATGAAAAAACGATAAGAGATATAGAACTTTCATGGTAAAAGCGTCCGCAGCACCATTCAAAGCTATTATGCCTAAATTAGTTACAAAATAAATATAGCAAATCATATGAAAAATTACGGACAAAAGTGAATATGTTTTCGATGTTTGTAATGATATGTTTTCGATGAAAGTGAATATGTTTTCGATGTTTGCAGAAATGAAAAATTACGGACAAAAGTGAATATGTTTCCGATATTTGTAATGATTTACAGATCTAATGAATTATTCCAATATAATCCTTTTATGGCTGGGAATGTATTAAATGATAAAACGAACAAGCACACCGGAAGGCCATTTATTGATCATAATATAATTGTATGATTTCATCACTTTACGACATTTATTGTCTTCGCAAATTATACTGTAAGAGTCGTACCTGAAAATAATTTCACACAATCTCTTCCATGTCACACCAAATCTTATTTATTTGGCAATTAATTTTATGTCAATTATATGGAAGTAAACAAGATTTAACATGATTATCTTAGTGAGGGATTGTATGAAATAATTTGTCAGTTATTCTAAAGCACCTCTTTGACGTCAACTTCTACCACAAACAAAATTTCATGATAAAACGGAAACTGAAAACATTGATCACCAAATACCAAAAGAACTAAAAACCAAATATTTCCAACCTATGTCTGTAGTCGGTGGTAGAATTGTTTCGATCACTGTTCTGAAGTTTGGAGAATTTAGTTTGAGAGGCGATACGAATGGTACTGTTATCTGGTAAATCCCATTAATTTCCGAGAGTTACGAATTCTTGTATAGGCCAGTTGATGCGATGAGCACATTAAACCCAGTCGATTTGTGGAAGCACTCTTTGTTGAATAGTGATGCATCTTCTATGGGATCTGATGTCAGGTAAATAATGCTTCTACTATGTTTTCCTCATGTGTTAGGAGATGTGGTTGGCTGAAATAAATGAACCGTCTTTTGTGTCACATCTTTTGTACTGATATGACATTTTCTCCTTTCATCCTGGGAAGGATACTTCTAGATCGATAATACGGTCCTGAAGAAGTCAGCTTATGAATTTTGTATGAAAAGGAACTGAACACGTAACTAATTCACTCATCCATATTTTCGGGAGATCGTTTTCAGTACAATGCCAATATTCGTTCCTTCGCCTGTCATTTCATCGTTTTCGGGTGACGCGAATTATTTACGAAAAATTTTCAAAGCATGGCCGATTAAAATAGAAAAGAAGGCTGTATTTTGGCCAGCACATGCCACATTTATAGCTTGCGGTACCACTGGTATTGTAATCGGTAAGTTTCCGATTTAAAAGTAGTTCTGAAATATTTTTTTTATAACTATGGCAGGTGAATTATACAATATGTGCGACTTTTGATGACTATGATTGGGAAAAACTCTTTCACTGTCTTAAGATTATCATAATATATTGAAGTATGTAAGACATTCCCGAAAATCATTAATCCTAAAAGATTTGACCTTTGTAACTGTTTTCTTCTAATATAATTCTCACATCACCCATTGCTGTTAGTATGGCATTTGTGTTTAGTTGGTCCTTTAGAGGAAATCAGAATGATTACTCTCAGATTAGTGTTATAACATGGATTTCAGGGATTCGTGTCAATTCTCATACTTTCCTTGGTGATGCAAATCATTCGTACGCTGAAAGTTTGCGGAAATGTCCAAGATTGACTTGGTTGATTGCTCTCTACAGTTCTGCCCTTCTTTATTTTGGCATTAATGAAAATGCTGTTTCTAGATATTTATACAGGTGAAAATTGAACTAAAATAAGTCATGTAGGAAAATATTGTTCCTCAGAAGTTTGTATATCAGTATAAACTGATAGACCTTTGCTATGAAGAACATGAATGAATTAACTTATTTGACCATAAAAGCAATCATAAATATAAAAGAACGATTCCGAATATCATTAGCTTTCATCAGTCAGCTTTAAATTCTTATTTCAGCCAAATTTTAATTTAACTTTTAGTCATGGTGATCTTTGCGATACATGTCTAATTTTGGGCAATATAGCTACTGCATTGTTAGGTGGAATCTGTTTTCCAATGCTTTCCACACCCTATTTAACAGCGGCTTCAGTAAGCGTTTCCATACTTTTTTCGACTAATTTTAGATTTATTCACATATACTGTGTTTATTAACAAATCTTTCGATAATGCTGAATTCTTCGTATTGTTATTATATTCTAGGCTATACTTCAAGGAGATGATGTTGCAATATCGAAATTAAGAAAAGCTAATAATTGGCTCAGTTATTTTTTTCGGTGGAAAGTTGGTGTTAATGCCTGTCGAGGAATTCTGGTACCAATGACCCTTGGACTGAGTGCTGTTTCTGGTGCTTCCATGTATATTCGCCTCTGGGGCAGACAGAGGTATTTTTTATTAGTAATCTTCAAAATTGTTTTTCATGCACCTTTAAGTCTGAAATGGGATGGAGCAAATTTTTAGATTACTTATAATGTAGAAAAAAGTCTTTCATTGCTGACATGTTTACTTTGAGATAATTGGAGCAACATATGGACGATAAAACTTCTAGATCAAGAATTAGAATGGTTTCAGGATTATGGATACTCTTTCTGTGGAACCAGGATTTGTTGCAGAAATGGATTGATGTTAACTCCTACAGATATATATATATAAAGTGCTTACAGTTTAGGATTTACTTTTTGAAGTTTTCTATCATAGTATGTTGTCGATTCAGATTTTCAAGTATTTCATCTACAGTCCTTGCTGCCAAGTGTCAGCATATAATTTAAATTCGCCCGGTCAATCTTGTAAATGAATAGCTTTAGTTGGATTCTTTGGTAATGGGTTGTTTACGAAACTCTATTTCTGGATTTCTGAACTCGCAGTTATTCATTAACTTGCGGAGTCGTATTATTAAATGTAGACCCATTAAATTCGTAATATTTTAGAACACTGAGGCAATTCATAATTCAAATTATATCTAGCAGTAAAGATATTGAGTAAAGAAAAATTTTTACAAATTATAATTTATAATTCTTCAATACAATTTAGGAAACCTGAGTGCTGTAATTCTTGTGTTGGAAATGTGGCCACACATAATATATGGATCACTAGGAAATCAATTTAAACTAAATATGTTTAAATTAAATATATCTAGAAATTGAAATACTGAAAATTTTACAGCTGTACGTTGCTGATGTTTAAAAATTATTTGTGCAAAAAATTTTCTAAAAATCAATGTCTTCTCTGCGGTTTTGCTTTACAAACGTCGATCTTGATCTGATATAATTTTTTTCGTTCAGTTATCGTGTGATACGTGTTATTCTCTCATTTGTTCATATTTTTTCAAAGACAAAATTTGGCGTATATCATCGTGGGTTTTTTCATTTTAATTTTAGTCATTTTCTAGAAGCCTTTTTTTCCTTTCAAATTATGTTTTAGTTAAGTATTTAGCAAGGACTGGCGGCTATTTTCGCGCATATTAAAACATCTCTTCCATCTGGAATACAACACCTTCGTGCGTTGTAGTAGATGAATGTAAGGGTGAAATCAACAAATTTTGTATGTGTATTGTATAATAAAACGTAACAGGACTGTAGTAAAATAAATTTCCGGTTGTGTAGATTACGCAGAAAACCATTTTGCATTGCAATAATCTTACTTTCAAGCTATTTATGAAGCCATGGAAATCTGCATATGGGTACTGAAATATTTATTTGGTAGCAGCTCACAAAAGACTTACGTGAAGAATGATTGTGGTAGAAATTTTTTCATGTAATCATTTTCCAATTTAACTTTCAAAAAAGACCTTTCACTCATGAAGTTTTGAATTATAGTTGGATGTATGACAGTATATGTGGTCAGCATCATTCTGAAGTGTTGCTTTCAGCATATCATCGGTCGGAAAATAACAAAAAAAGATAAATTTGGATGGGATTCATTTGAGCGGTTAACTGGCATTAGAAACAATTAAAAGCTGCTAACAATAGAAATCTTTTTTCATCAGGCTTCCAAAAATGAATGAATGCGAAGCAGTGGGAGAATTACTCGCTAAGCAAGAAAAGATGGGACAAAAGAATCGTTACTCCTAGATCTCATGATTTGCTACTGTTGGAAAAATAACTGGCAACTTTATGGATAAGCAGACAATCTAGCATCATTTCTCGCTGAAAATTTATTGGATGTGGAATTAAAGCATTTATGATAAATTTCCATATATTTGGGATTGAAAAACATCAATTCTACATGAAAAGATTTGCATTTGTTTCATTAGGCATGACTAGGAGTAATCAATACCTTTTAACCTTATTTTTCAATTAATACTATATTACTGCAATTAATTCTCGAACTTATAGCCAATAATAGAAATAAAGAAATTACATGAACTCTCAGTTAAGATTTCAGGTAGTAATGATGTCATTACATATACTATATGTACTACATCTTTCTTCATATTTTCCAATTTAATTTTTTAGACAGAATGTTTTGATCGATTTAATCCTGCTTTATTTATTCCAATATAATACATACATATATCATCAAATGATTTTGCCATTGCAACAAACAATGCAATAAAAGTATGGAATATGAAATCTTGCATATATAACGAATAAGTTTGCAAGATTAGACATCTTATCTTATTTGTTTAAATTGATGCTCAACAACTTCCTCCTTGTTTGCTTTAGATCAGCTGCCATGAATCACAATATGATCACTTTTTTCTCCGACCAAAATTGATAAGAAAAGTTACCAGGTCTCTCCCGCATCATCTATTCTTTTTTTTATCTTTTTCCAACGTTGAACGTATCTTCCATTAAATTACCACAACATAGTGTCATGTCATTGTATTCTGTAAAATAAATAATGATTATTTTTGATCTCGGATGCATGGTATATGATATTCAGATTTTCATAAAGATAGCACAGAATTTTTGGTTATCACAGTGAAATCAAATCTGAGAAGCCCTCTATGCTAACGAAGCTTTTCTTTCTTTCAAAATCTCATGTCCTTTAGGATCGTCTCCAAATTCACTTAAAAAACTGACAGGCAAGAAAGAAAAGATCCCATCTCGTCAATTACTCCCTTAAGAGTATTTTGCATTATTTGTAGAAATCCCTATATTGAAATAAAAAATGAAGAAACAACTGCAAAAGTTTCTTTTTATAGATTGACAGAGTTCAATTTTTAAGCCTACCACAAATGCATGAACAAAAAAGATAAAATTTCGAGTTCCTTTTCTTCTCAATCCATTTCGCCCTTTGCATCTATTCTTTTTGTCGGAACTTCTGCTGAAAGTTGATAAATTGTTTCTCCTTTACAACATTGTTCAGGGGATGACTGAAGAACAACATTTCCCGAAGATTTTCTTCAGGAAAACTTCGAAACAATTTTAAAACAACTTCTGAAAAGAAAAAGTTAATCACCATTTCAACTGTCTAATTTATTCCTTGAAAGAAATTCATGCAATTGCATTATGTCTTTAAAGGAATAATTGAAAGAGAAGGAGCAAAAAATAAAGTAATGGGATGAAGTTTGCCCGATTTAAGATTTAATACGCGAACTTCCCGAAAATAGCACAGTAGTACCTAAAATTGATAGAAGCCGAAAAAAAAGCTCATGATTAAAAAACATTTTGTAAAATCTGTCATATTTTTGCTTCTATTAATGAAAATTAGCTTATATATCCAGATAGGTGAGAGAGGAAGAGAGAAGGCTAGAAAAAAATTAGTAATTTTCTTTTGACGTGGAAAAATATGCTTCGATGGACAGTAACCAGAAATTCAGTAAGTGTATTCCTTTTATAAATTACTAATAGGAAAGGTCGCACAACCAATATACTAATAAAAAAGATTTTAAGTAAATGGCAAGTATCACAGTGTACACAAATAATTCGCCAATTGCTATGTCCCTAAACTAGATGACAGTTGTTTTACAGCTTTCAGATTGCTCAATTACTAATATCATCCTTTGGTAGTACAAAGATGAATAACAAATCTTGTGTGAAATCTAATACACAACCCTACTTTAATGTAATAAATTCCGTAATTTAATTACTGAACATCTATTAAATCGCTATATGAATTAGGAGTGTTTGAATATCGTATGATATAAGGTAAAATTGAGCATCATTTCAGCACAAATGCATACCAAAACAAAAGCCTTCAACAAAATTATTTTCTCCAATTGATCTCGGATTTCCTCTGATACCAAAAATCGCTTTAATGGTCGCAACCATAGGTAGGGTCTGAAAACCGAATTTTTATAATAAATTACCCTAAATCTTCACTTCTCCATATGATCTTATCCTTGACATTCCTTAGAAACCATGTCAACATTTTGAAACTTCCAACATGGCAATCGGTCAAGCGTAGGAAAAACCTCGGACTATATGTTATATAACAGCAATAGACCATAAATTAAAGCAGCTGCAGAAATGAAAAAGCAATCGTTATGAATTGAACTATATCTTAATTTCCCTTGTCTGGATGGAATCGCTTCTCTTATAATTCCATAACAATTCTTCAAGCTGAACAAATTACGATATAAAGCCAAAAAAGTGAAAGAAGTAATTTACCCGCTCCAAATTTGGACAACTAAAATATATTTAATATGGAAAACCTGTAGCTAATATGACTGCATTATTAAAAACAATCAATATAAGGAGACTTCTACATAGGAGAATCATTTTTTTAAAAAAAGAATTGATGCTAATTGAAAATACTCTCAAAATATTCCAATTTGATTCTAACGAGAAATAATATGTAAAATTTCAATTCTTTTCCTACGTTTCTGTTGCATGCATTATCAAACCTTTCCAGTGCTTTCTATTCACGAGATAAACAGATGCGATGCATTTGCATCTTCCTATCACGTATTACTTCATTTTTTGCGAAGCTCATCATTTGATAATCACAATTCTGATCAGACCAAAAGAGGCTAAAGCATGGCAAGCAGCATTACCGTAAAATTTCCGAAGCAAAATTAGCCAGAGCTATTCAGCGAATTGATATCATGGCTGAAAACTACAACTACTTGTGATGTTTTAGTACCCGCTATCCGACACAAGCTGTTAATAAAACTATCACATCATACAGGCATGTGATTTGAACCCTGATCTTTCCTGATAGACGGTCATAGCCAAAAGGATATAGTGATACATTATCAATTTTTTTCGGATTAAATTTTAGAGCTGAAATTGCTCCAAAATAACTCGCTAGTACAATGTAGGCAAAAATACTTGGATGAATTGTTTCGCATATTTTTTTTTGAAATCAAATTTTCAACATCCTTGACAACATAACAAAATATCAAAATCTTTTTCGTGTAAAAACAGCAAGCAAGCTTTAGACGGATTTTTTTTAAGATTTCTGGCACATTTTTCTCGGGGAAAAATTTTATTTTTACAGCAGCACTCTCTCCCTTTTCTGGTAATAATGTGCTTTAAACCATTTCTACGCATAATTTTTTAAACCACATATTTTATCTGAACCTATTCAAATAGTTTTCCAATTGCTCTAATCATTGGCTATGTTCTAAACCAGTATATATACATACCAATTATAGGTTATAAACAGTCAAAAATCTTTAAATGAATCTAAAAAAAGAACTTAGGGCTGCAAAATGCAATAAACACTTCAGTCACTTATGCGTTTTTCCTGTGGTAAAAAATTTTAGACGAATTTTGACAATAACTAGCAATTAAAACTGCTATGGAAAAAAATCAAAAAAACTGTCGAAAGCTGCAGTAGGGAATTTCTGAAAAGGGAAACTGGCAAAAAAAGGAAAAATCAAAGCATCAAAAAAAATAATGCAAAAATTACTACTGCTGCTGCTAACTTGAAGAATTTAGTGTTAGTTAAATTTTTAAAAAATTGTTAATTAAAAAATAACACAAGTATCCCTCATTTTATGGTTAAAGCACATTGCCCAAAAGCGAGCGATAAAGCATATGGAAAGAGCAGAGGAGTAGGTAGGATGGATGGATGGATTAAATCAAAATCGTATTTTATGTAGTATTCCAATATTACTTTACCTTTTTGAGGTATTTATTTCATTTTCAATCATTACTCCCAAAATGAGGAATGAGTTTGGGCGTCAGCTGCTGCTGTTGCTGTGCTGATATTATTTAACACGTATGAAATGAATTTCTCAAAATTAATTTCAAATTCCTGAAAAATTTCTTTCATTCAGGGTGAAAAAAATTGGAATGTGAAAGTGGGAGTGAAGAAAAAAGCCGCCAGCCACTATGCTTGTTAAGGTGAAGAAAAATACTTTTTTCTTAACTACACACACACATACACACAATAAAACATCAAAACAGTGAAAAATGACTATTTCAAAAAAAAAGAAAAATCATCCTGAAAATAAAACTTTTTAGAAAATCTAAAATAAAAGGAAAAAAAAACAACATTAAAATACGTTTTGAACATCACCGTCATCAAAGAAAGGATCACAGAATGCAGCACAAACCACGCGCATAATGAGAGAGATACATTTTATGACATGAAAGAGATTGCTGTTGTTGCTGATGTTTGTTGTTGTTGTTGTTGCTGATGTTTGCTGTTGTTGTTATTGTTGTTGATTTCTGTGACAGTAGTAGTAATAGTAGGAATAATGATAATAATAACAGTATAATAATAATAGCAATAGTAATAGGGTAGTTTTTTTTTGAATGGTTGTATTGGGTAGTATAACTTTTTTGTGGTACCATTTAGAAACGTGGAGGAATCTGGCCACTAACTGAAAAAATAAAGCAAAATATTAGCATTTTTGGTTTGAAGCAGCGATAGCAGCATGCACAAATTTTTCTTTTTGTTCTTTCTTTAATTTTGAAAGAAAATAATCAATTTTAGTACCAGTCTTTCATTCCTAAAAACAATAAATATATAATCCATCCTCATTATAAGAAATTCTTGACACTATTTTTAATTTTTTTTTAATTGCCGTTTCTCTAATTACCTTTTTTACTGTAATTATTGTAGATGGAAACAAAAAAAATTTTTTCTCAAATGCTTGCATCATGAAATTACATATCAATTTCATTAATTGACCCCCTTAGAAAAGGCATAATTAACGGACAGCAAATGAGTAGACAACAAATAATGGAATAACTTTTCTGACCACACAAAGATATTTTCATTTATATTGGCCATTCTCACTAAACTTGGAGAATCACTTGGAGCATATAATAAACTTTAGAGAATATAATTTATAATACTTTTGCCATTCAGAGAAGTTGAAATTTTTTTGAGATAAAACAACGAAAATTTTCATTGCATTGGAAAAGGTGTTGATGAAATGATTATGATGAAAGTGATTATTAAAAAGATTATTAAATTATTTTAATGACTGGCAGCTAATTTCCCTTTTAGCAATGATAATAAGTTGAGGGAAAAGTGAAGCAGCAACAAATTATTTTGTGCAGTAACAGTGCATCGAAAGAATAGGTGGATTTTCAATGAAGCATAAGCTTTTTCATCCCATTTGCGACAGTGAAACAAAAAATTGAGAGATACATGAAAGAAGTGTTATCACTAAAATAGGATAACACTTTTCCCATGAATGTGCAAGGCTTCATTGCTTGATTAAATCTGAACTTGAACAATAGCATCGAAAAGAAGATGGCACAAAATATTTTATGTTTAGCCTAAATGTCATTCGTCAAGTTATTTGGAACAAAATATCAATAATAATAAAATTAGACCACTAGAACTGACCATTATGATGATTTAGATTTTGAAAAATTTAAAGGTCTGCGCTTAAAAAAAAAAGAGTACACTTACATGACACAGTTGGCATATAGCCGATACCGGGAATCAAATATGGATTGAAGGTAGCTTGTGGTACCTGAGCCGCAGCAGCAAGTTGGGCTGTAGCACCATTTGCATACACTGGTACACCACCTTTTTCAGCAGCTGGACGTTTACGTGGGACAGCACCTGCCTGGAACTACACATGCATATTTTTTATAACTAAGGTTAGTGATGCGTTGGGAAAATAAAATAATGGCTTCAAGTAATAATTAAAAAAACAAAAAAAAAATGAGAAGTTAGCTTGAAAAAATTTAAGCAGTTTGATGATGGCGGAGCATAAAGTTCTCTTCCTTGGTAGCTTTTCATGCTTTAAGGCACACAACATGTAACAAAGTAATCGTGTGAGAATGCGAGAAAACAAGGAAGGAACTCCAGAATTAACGGTAGAAAACATCAAATAAATTTAAATGAAACGATATTTAAGCTAAATTTAAACAAAAAAACAAACAAAAGGCGCAAAAACAAAAGAAAAGAAAGAAATAGAAAACTAAAAAGGAGGCACCAAATGTAACGGAAAATCGACCCTAATGGTACCAGAGAAACCGTCGAAGAAATACGACTTTTTTTTGGAAGGAAGAGGGGGTAATACTCCGAAAAAAAGAATGCGTGTATGTGTATGTGTATGAAAGAAAGAAACAAACGGAAAATTGGTACCGCAGCAGCAGCAGCTAGGAGAAAGGAATTCTGATCGAACTGTTGCGACGTTGATGGCCCAGCAGCGGCAGCCGCCGCAGCAGCAGCAGCAGCTTGTTCCTCCTCCAAGGCACGTTTTCGACTATTCTGTAGCATTGTTCCGGTAGTAGCATTTCCGGTTGATCCGGCTGCAGCAGCTGCTGCCGCAGCAGCAGCTGCTGCAGCTAACGATGGTGGTAATGTTGCAGTAGCTGGAGCCAATTGTGGTGGTAACGTGGTAGTGGTAGCAGCAGCCGTAGCTGCTTGCGACATAGCAGCAAGATTTTGAAGCGCCATCAGCTGGGCTTGAACTTGCTGGAAGGGAAATATTCGCAATGGATGATGAACAGCCGCATTAAGCCATGCAATAATCATACACACAAGTACACATTCACGCACACCCACGCGCGCACGCTCACACATATTTAAGAAGCCACCACACAAGAAAATAAAAGAATTTCCACATCAAAAAAACAGTTCGGCGTGCACAGTTCATTTCTCTTAATTCATTTCCTTAAAAATTATTATTATTGTTTTCCTTAACTTTAATGAAAACCGTAGTGATAACACAAAGCACACTTCACGTACATTATTAGCTATACGTGAACTTGAACAAAGAAAAAAGATTCATATAGAGTATCCACTAGAATAAGTGGTAATATAAGATCATGATAAAAAAATTTAACCATCTAAAATGAAAGTACTGAATGGTAGATTGTAGCCAGATTTCTTTTGATAAATTCAATCGATAATCGGCTATCTCTAATATTGTATCCATCAAGATAGGCATGACCGTTGTAAATATTTGACATATCATCGCCATTGCCAAATCATAAAGTTTGTTGAGGAATGAATACTTAATCTATTGCTGATCTACTGTATTTGATCTGAACTTCGGATATACCACGTTAGCTGCAATATTTTCTTGCACATGTGATACATCGATCGGAAACGTTGCATAGCTTAATTTTATTGAAAGCAATATGAAAGAGTTAGCATCAATGAGATGAGCGCCAGAATTTATCCGAATTTTCACTACGAACACAATAAACTTCACCAATGCTGCACTTTTTTTCCTTTAAAATTTGTTTTATTTTTTTAAATACACTTAACCTATTAGAGCAAATTGTCTAGAATGCTAAAGCTAGTAATAACTATTAAGAGTTAACTTTTTTTTGCTTACATCGTTGTAACTTTTATTAATAATTTTGTTTGAAAAAACATTGCAATTTCCGTTATTTGAATATTTTAAAAATTCATATATTATTAACTATTTATTAATTTTTCAATTCTATTCAAATAATAATTTTTACAATGATATTATTGGCGCAACTAATATCATTCTATATTCTTCGCATATTTAGAATAGAAATAATTCCCTTGCAGAAAATTAGGAATTCATGAATTGCTACCGTAGTTGATAATTCGATTAAATTATTAGCTGGATGATTTATCAATGAAATGAGTCATGCTTCAAGCAGTTTGTTTTACTCCCAAAAAAACACATCTATTTTTACGTGGATTTATACGTTTTTATAATGGAAAAAAAGTGGATGAATCAGTAATAATGATCAGTTTCTACTGAAACGGTAGCAGCAACATGTAATAAAGAGCTTAGAAGCAACAAAAAATAAATTGACACGCAAATAAAAGAGATTATTTGAAACACAACGTTCCTGGTCGAGCTCACAGTACACAGAAGCGAGGCAGTAAACGCGTATTCCTAATTTGCGATACGATGACAACTTTCATTTTTATGAGAAAGAAAGGAAGAAGGGGGAAGGGGTGGAAAATTTATGGTTTGGATATATATGTAAAATATTTCTGACATTTGCACGCACGCCTTAATTCTGATTTTCTCAATAATTTAAGAAAATATCATTTAACTTTTAGTAATTTAAACTTGTTGATCATAATTTGCATTCAAGTATCACAGAATGCTATTTGAGAGGCCTATTTATTTCATTTATAAATCTTATAAATTTCTCATGAGAAAGTATGAAAGAATGGGCAAAAAGGAGTGATATCTACCTTTATCAGGTATATAATACCACGATAACAACACTAGACGTATCATTACTATTAAAATTGCTACTTACTGTTGCATATGAAATTATGCATATATAATTGTCGACCTTTTTTGTTTTAAAACTTCTATTCCTCTTGGAAAATTTTGCCACTTCTAGGGATATCAAATTTCCAAAAAATAATTATTTCAGAAAATTGTGGTAGCTTCTTTGACATTCGTTCTCAACCAAATTTTTCGAGAATTCAAAAAAAAATATATATCATCAGTATAGATATGAAACAATACTTGTTAAGCATCATTAACGTGGATTTATGGAGAACTTACCTTCGTTGACTCATCTTTTTAATTATTTAAGAAAAAATAAATAAATACTAACCGCTTGGTAAGCAGCTGCAGCAGCATCATTGCTTGGGAGAGGCACAAGTGTTGGATACATGGTGGTAATACCCTGATAATACTGATAAGGAAGTGCAGCTGGAACTAAAGTTGCAGCCTGTGCGGCAGCTGCAGCGGCAGCTTGCTGCTGTTGTTGCTGAACGATGAGAAGCTGATCGTTAAGTGTCGCTGGACTAGCTTGACCACTGACGACCAATTGCGCTAATGGATTCATTGTTGAAAGAGCAGTAGGAGCTGCTGCTGCTGCTGCTGCATTCTGATTTAACTGTGTACAAATCAAATTTTTGAGGGCCAAATTATTTCGACCATTTATCAGTAATTGATCCTTTAGATGCTGTGGTGGATGTAAGTACTTGCATTTTGGATTTTCTCGAGTACATCGAGCCTACAAATAAATTGATTGATAAATTATTTTCACACACACTTAGAAGAATTATCACAACAATGAAATTAGGTAGCTATATATTTCATACAATTTTCAAGCTGCTTCTACCTTCTCCTTATATTTTATTTTAAACAATACGTGAAAATCGCATAATTGAACTATAATGATATTCTACGCGTAACCCTGAGAGACACGTACGATGAAGCGTAAGCAATATTCTATTTTATTTCTTTGTGTTTCATAGACGTATGAAGCAAGTTCGACCCATATCCATGACACATAATGAATCAAAATAACCGAATCAATACTTATAGTAATGAAAATTAACTGTTTTTATGAACGATTTATAGAACAAGAAATGTCTCATCTTTCAGCAATAAATATTTGAAAGTTTTCTTCGATAAAAAATGGAAATTTTTTAAAACATAACAGAAAATTATCACTTGTAATTTTCATTAAATTTCACAAGTAATTCCTTTCCTTTTGCATTTTTCATTTAATATGTTATGCTGATTGATAACATATTGGAAATGTTATACTTATTAATAGTATGTTTAGAGATGTTATGCTTCATTTTTCATTTTCTAACCGGTGTACGTGAACAGATGGCATAAAACTTTCTGTGAATCCAAATCTGTGAATGGACCAATTAGTTAACTTGGTAACCACCGAAAAAAATGGAATATTGACCATTCCAGTGCCTTTAGAATTAGACATCAAAACTTCAGCTCATATACCTTTCCCTCTCCCACAAAAAACTTGTTCGCTAGGATGAAAATAATTTATTTCTCACAAAAGAATTCATTTTAACCAATAGTTAATTTACCCCAATTTTTTAAAATTTCTTCTTTCTGCGGGTACTCTGATGAAATTACAATTGACGAAAATATTAATTTCCTGTATTTTTATACTTGAAAAGCCATAGTGAGCGAGAAAATTGAATAACGAAAAAACTACATATTTTGTTGAAGGAATTGAGTAGTTAGTGATCAAATTAATTTAAAACTCATGAAATTCCCATCTATCATCCTTAGTGCTAAAAGATTAATGTCGGTTCCATTTCATCATTATTATCATCATCGTCATCAGCTCATCATCATCATCATCATCATCAGCAACAACAACAACAATAACAATAACATCCAAACTGCTCCATTGTTTTGTTAATAAAATGACTAATAAATGTTCATTATTATTACTAAGTACACAAATAACGAAAAATATACAAATTCTACAAAGACCAAGATAGTGGAGAAAAAAGTGAGAAAAAGGAAAACCTTAATGGAATCATAACAAGCAGTAACACGACCATTCTGTACATCAACATGTGGAGGTGGGTGTGCAAATTTACATTCGATATCTGATCTCGAACACTGACCTCTTTGAAATTCGCGACATACCTGAAATTTTGTAGTTACTTTATTTCTTTACTTCTTGCAGAAAAAATTGGTTCTTTCATTTTTTGTATATTTTATTGCGGTTAATTTTCGAAAATTATGTAAAACAACAAATTTATTTGTGACAAATACCCATTCTTAAAATAGAATTATTATTATTATTTTCTTTGTTTTTTAAAACAGTTCACAACTTGCTCAACTTATTAATATTCTTATAAAAGAAGATTACAAGGAGAGTTCAATTGAACAGGAAACAGCTGACGCCTGCGGCTACGAAGTTAAAATGAAAAGTGTGTTAAAAATTCTTACGTTGAAAGTTATATTTTTTGGAACTTAAATAGAGGAAAGATATATAACAAGAATGAAAAAATTAAATAAATGATATATGGGAAAGAGAAAACTGGCTGCTTCAGGAAATTCTTCTGTTCATAACTGTGAACATCGTTCTCATATCCACATCGGGATGTGTCTTTTTAAGATGTTGGGGAATATGATCGATTTATCACATTGTTTAATTCTTATCCAATAAATATTAAACATTAACATAATATAAATATCAAATGATAAAACATAATAAATATCTCAGGTTAACCGTTGATTACTAACAGTTTTAGATAAAATAAGAACTTGACCTCGAATTATAAGTTAAAGGTTAGTAAAGACTTGAGCAAAATAAAGCTTACCTCCAACTGTAACCATCTGGAATCTTTAACGTTAAGCAATTGTGACATAAGACCCGTTGAAGAAGTACTACTTGCTGCTGCTGCTGCTGCTGCTGCGTTACTGTTCTCATCGTACATGGCAATAAATGCCTATAAATGAATAAATTAATTACGATAATATCATTTTATATTAACACAGTCAATCACGAAGTATTACCAACGATTTCTTTTATATTTTAGAATAATGAAAAAAGATCCGATCGCATTTAGGACAGTGACACTTAAAGGGAGTGAGAAGGCTAACTGATTTATGGAAGAAGGAGTATTTTTATTTGTCTGAAAATAGTAATCTGAACAGATTGGACAATAAGTAGCCACTATATTACATCCATTAATGGACAACCCCAATCTTTGTGATTGGTAAAAAAAATGAAAAAAATTTTTGTGGAAAAAAGTTCCTAATTTATTTTTAAATTAACTAAACAGAAAGGGAGGCGGAATATGAGTTTAAATCCCGCGGTGGCATATATTTTCGATAATTACCCGAGAGCGTCATGTCTTCCTTCCGGTCCGGTTTGTTTTCTTACTTCGTATATGACTGAAGTGAAACAGGAAAAATGGATGAATAAGTGAATGAAAAGCATAATTGGTTTCTGAAAATGCAACTAGTTCCAGACGTTTCGGAACATTTCTTCCATTCAGGTTCAAACCACGTATAACTAACTACATAAGCTTGTTAGTGACCCTTTCAGGATACCATCGATGTAATCCACTAAAATTCATTCATCTCATTACAAATAAATTGAAGATGACGTTATCCCCGTCACTACCACAAAATGAAAATTCAGAATTCAACAGGGCGTTCCATATCCGAGGCGAGCGGACACCGATCATTGACAGGCAGTCAGGCAGGTAGGCACTATCACCTGAACCTATGTAGTAATAATATCTTTGCATGCAGTGTCCTCCTCTGTTAGTGTGGCACATCGATGCATGCATTAACATACAGATACGTACATGAATGCATGCAATTGCATGTAATTGGAGACACACCCATCATCACCTATCCGACCACCCATACAGCCAGCTGTACCCCTTCTTCGCACCATTAAACAAGCCAGTTTTGGTGAAGAAGTCTCCTCTTGCAACCGTTGTTTGTGTATAGCCTGTGTGTATGTGTGTGTGTGTGGGTGTACCTTCTGTCTGTCTGTCTGTCTTTCCGTCCGTCGTCATATTCACATATTATTAGTGTTTGCTTTGTCATGTCTATCTTTCTGTTTTTCCGTCCGTTTGCCTTTCTCTTTGATTAAAATTGATGAGGTGATTAAGTGCAGATATTCTTTTCAGCCCTTATCATTGAACGGTTTGTTATCAATTGATTGAGGAATGAATCATGAATCCGTCGTGTAATTTTCGATGGGAATTCTCTATCATCCGCTCATTGAAGCTACTATTCGTATACGAAAGTAGGCGGGAAAAGAAGATATAAAGGAAATAGTCAGAAAAGGCACGGAGAAATAAACAAAGCGGGCGGAAAGATAATAACATATCTTAGCAGATCATTGATATTTCAGTACTTATAAGCCAAACATTCAAAGCTTCAAAGAAGGTTACTTTCTTAGTTTTAATGTAAAATTAATCATCATCGGTCTATAACACTGAAGGTCAAACTCAAATAGAGTTAATATGTTCACCATTTATAGCGTTATCACCACACCGTTCCACATGTTATATTATTATTTATCCTTCCTCATCTCCTATGAAATCCTATGGAAGTTTTGAAAAATAGCGCAACTATCTATTCCAATGGACACATCGAAGTGATTGCTCGTTGACACTTTCTTTGAGAAATAT